ACACGTGCAGGCACATAATAACCTAAAAATGTAAATTGGCAGAATTACATCACAATTGCTATGAACAGTTTATGACACTTCATGTGATGACACCTTTGAAAATACCAGCGTGCTGGCATTTACTGGCCTGTCAAACTATGAAACATATTAACTGCCTCACGACTGTCTCTGTCAAAGCTTCAAGGCAAACTTGTAAGTTGATAAACGACGAACGGGGTGTGTTAAAGTTTCAAAGGTATATCTACTTCAGGGAATCAAGTGGCTTAATTTTCTGTGACTCAACTGTGCTCAACTTCAAGGTGTCAAATGTAAAACCGATTATTACTTGACCGGTGGCATAAACTGAGACTTATAGCCTAATGTTATAACCAAGTAACGTGAGCACACGCTACATATATCATCATTTACAGTTAAGTTATAACGAAATTTCCAAGTTAAAAAATAAAGTTCACCCCTGCCTGGCTGCAACTAGCTTGAGCAGAGAGATAAGCTAACTTGTAAACGTAACACAATGGCTGCTTCACGTTATGAAAATAACTGACCAAGTACCGTAGCTAACCACAGTGTAGCTAACTATATTGGCTAGTGGGGGTAAGGTATAGTTAGCTATGATAAGCAGTCAAAGTAAAGCAACCGCTGTCATGAACTTCGATAGCATGCCATTCACTTGTAGTTGTACCAAGCAGATGGCTAATAATAAATATACTCGACTACATATAATCAGCAACAACTGACTGTATCGTTTACCTAGCATTGTCACTAGCTTGCTAGCGTAAATTGACAACAAAAACTAATGCAAAGCCACGGAGACAAAAACAACTTGAATTGTGATAGCGTTAGCTGGGTTAGCAGCTACAGCCAAGTCTCGAAAACGTCATTAGACAACTTTCCTTTTCGCGGCTCCACACCGTCAGCTGTTTGACATTTGACAAACTATGGGATACAGACTTGTTATGGTGTCAGCTCGTGGCTTAAAACGACGCCGTATGCTCCTAGACAATATTCGTCCCAAGGCTTTTTGTGCATTTTCTGCGGTCTCAAAGAGCTAGAAGCTCGGTGCCTCTGTCGATCCAGTCAGATGGACATTTCGGTTGAAGTCGGACTTGGCTGATCGGTAGATCAAAATTTGGCAAAGGAGATCCGAATATGGTTAACAGCTCGTCGACAAAAGGAACAACAAAAGTTCAGTGTTTTGCTTTACCCCCATCTTTCATAATTTCAATCTGTCTGACTTACAATACTTTTTCTTCTTTTGCTGGTCTCATCAGCGGCGGCTGTCTTCTTCTTCTTCTTCTTCTTCTTCTTCTTTTTCTTGGGCTCTGGCCTTCCCTTCCGGTTAGCAATTTTTCCGGGAACCTCCCACTTTTTGTCAGCGGCTGTCTGACCAATGAAAAAGCTGCAGCCTGCACAAAACATCACTCTGCAGCACAGGAGCTGTTTACGGGGCCTCAGTAAATTGTCTAAATTTAAAATTTACCACTGGTGGACAACGTACTCAGATCCTTTACCAGAAATACTCAATTATAAACATTACAAACAAGTAATCAATGTGCTGAAGCTCAAAGCCTGAAGAACATAATTGTCCAAACACTTCCAGTCTTGACTGTATTTTTCAAACCAATGCCTGTAATGTACAGATGTGATCATAACAGTTGATGAAAAGTTAGTTTAAGATCAAAGTCTGACTTCAAGCTGTATTTCAAGTGTAAAGTCAATTAATGGCTGGATCATCCACAGAATTAGAGACAATCAAAATTATCAATTTTGCCATTACATTCAAGTGCTTTTCTATCAGGTGCCTTTTCAAGATAAATCCAGACAAGGAGACCACAGTGGAGAAGCAAAATACAAATACAAATACAAACTCACTGGTAAATAGACAATAAATTAACATTAAGTTAATGCTTTTATTAGCATTAAAAACAGAAGATAAACAAGAAACAAAACAGGAGCGAAAAGGTGTAGGCTAAAGCCTTAGCTAATTACATCTACCCTTTTTACATTCATTATTTTGCCAGCTCCCTTTAAATTTATACAGAGCAATAAAAAAAAGTAACAAAGACTAAGTATATATGCATTATATAGGCCTGTTGTTTACCCCAAAATCCCAAACACATTTCATGTACACTCTGGTGTTCATACGCTTATATTTGTTAATCATGTTATGTTTAATTCTTTTTTTTTAATCTATTGTGTGTATTACACTCTTTCATTTCTGTTTCTAAGCCATTCCACAAATTTACTCCCCATACTGAAACATATATCCCAAGGTTCTTTCATTGATCACAAACATTACAGACTTTGAATAAAAAGAATGAGGCATCACACATGCACACAATTTTTCACAGGTGGAAAATAACAGCTGTTAATCCCACTGCAAAGACATTTTTAGAGATTGGATAGTCAGCTTTTAAGTGGTGAACCAATGAAAAGGGCAACTACACTATAAATCCTAATTCACTCTCTCAACTGTACAGTGTACAGTACAGTGACATGAAAGTTATGAGCAGACCTGACACAAAATAACTACTGTACCTGAAACCATGTGAGAAAGTTTAGAGGGCTAGTGTCTCTTTGTTGGACCTGCTAGAAACTCAGACATCTGAGACATGACCTTTTGCAAAGTACATGCACATGTTTGCAATGCAGTAAAAAATAGAATATTTCCCTCTGAATAGTGGTGTTACTGTAAATTTGCATAAAACCAATAAATAACTATTAACATTTCAAAAGCTGCAATGAATGATAATTAAAATCTAATGCTTTGTTATTGGCATTTTAAATGCCAGGCAGACAGACAGACAGACTATGAAATAATGGGTCCCTCTCCTGTATACCTGCAGACTCAAAATAGTTTGTTGACATTTTGTGTCTCTTTGTAGCGGTTTTGTGAAGCCCAGCGTGCCCTCCAATGGCCCTGGGCCTGTGCTTGGTTGGCTTGTTCAGTAATCCATCTATGACTGCACCTTACTTTATCTATATCAATAACTCCTGTAACATGATTGTTCATTACATGTGGATGTTATTTTTTTATTTATCATGGCTCGTTTGCTGCTTTCATGTGTTGTTTTGTGCGTCTGTATGTAATTATTGTGGGTGGACTTGGTGTCAGAGAATTCTGCCACTTAGCCTGCATAAAGGCTTTACTGCACTTCCAGATCACACACCTCTATGAAGCATCTTTATGTCAGCCACAAAACCAAGATTTTGGACTAGGATAAATGTAGGAAACACCTTGTCATAGCAATCTTTCAACACAATGATAAATTAATTATGATATAAATTAGTTATGAAACTAGTAACAGGCCTAAATTTCTCACTAAGTAATGAGCTTTTCAATTTTCTTTGTAATATTTGGTATGAAAGGTCTCCTGAAGCAGTCCATGGTCCTGACAGGTTTGTCCATGGACAAAGCAAACATCAACAAATATAAAATAAATTAGCTTAATATAATTTTAAGCTAATATAATAAAAAGCTTTGATTATTCAAATTCAATAGAATTGAGGACAATAATGTTCCAGTATTTATACAATAGCAAATGATATGGTTGCTACAACAGTTTATCTGATCCTAAATCAGTGTGTGAATACTGACACCTGGTGGACCCACATGTCCTTTATTTTCTCTGCAGATTTCAAACTGTGAAAACATTGGTTTTCTTTTGTTGCTGATAACTTCAAATAAAAAATTATTTCCTCTATGAAATCATTGACTGCTCTCTTCTGCTTTTCATTCATTCTTCTATCAGTCCTGCCTATACACCACTGGTTGTTTGAAAGTCTTGTTACCACGGCAACTGGCTCAGCACAGTGACTCTACAGCAGGCTGAACTAGTAAAGGACACAAGAAAGCTGTCATAGCTTTAAATTTTTAAAAAAGAGAGAAGAAGAGGAGCAACAAGTTCAAGGTGTTGACTTGGCCTCCAAATTCCCCAGATCTCAATCCAATCAAGCATCTGTGGGATGTGCTGGACGCATCCTCGCAATTTACAGGATTTACAGGATTGGCTGCTAACGTCTTGGTGCCAGATACCACAACACACCTTGAGAGGTCTTGCCTCCATGGGTCAGAGCTGTTTTGCCAGCAAAAGGGGGACTTACACAATATTAGGCAGGCAGTCATAATGTTATGGCTGAAAACTATTGAAGAGCATCATTAATTGACCAGGTGTATGAGATCCCAGATGAGGACAAAAATCAACCAGTTATTTCCAGTGAAGCACTTTGCAGCTTGTGCATACAACTGATAATTACTAATAAGCACTCGAAAAAACAAACTCAGTTGGTAATTTATCAGGAACATCTCGTTAAGCCTTACATTACTTAGTTGTTGTTTAAGTTGCATTTACTGGTGCCAATGAAAATGAAAGCCTATTTCCCCCCTATGCCTAATTCTAGCTGGCACAATTTAGTGGTAAATACGACCCTTTTTACAATAGTTAATTTAGAAGTAGTATCCAGCTCCACAATCAAGCTGTTGTGGTTGAATCCAGCTCCAGAATCAAGCATGCCCTCCTGTCTACCACCAGGGGTATGAGTTCAAATTAGAGTCAAAAAGATTTTGAGCTTGGAAAGTGAACACTTGCATTTGTTAAAAAATGTGCTTGTGAAGAAGAGATTTGTATCTCTTAAAAGAAAAACAAGATTTTGTGATAAAACTGAACAAATGATATAGATGAGATAACACAAAGAAACTGTGAAAGAGGAAGTGCTTCTGTCAACATACAGAGCAGAAACCTGTAAAACAATTCCACCGATTTATATAAATGTCTACTGCTCGTTATAATTCATCACTTTATTGTAAACTCTTTTGTTCCCTTCAGGATCCTCTAGAAATGATTACTCAGTTTTTCCAGTGATCTGATTGGTCAGTAGTTTGGCTGTTTACAGGTTTTGATCTGAAATAATGTAATAATCGCTTTTAACAAAAATGTTATACCACTGTAGAAGTCAAGTAAAGGTCATGAATTTATTAATCATTGTCTCGTGTGCGTCCGCCTCTAGCGGACAGTCTCTACAATTACTACATGCTGACATGTATAAATGTACTTAAAAATGTTTTCCAGACTCACTGCTTTAACTCTCCGAGTTAAGTATTTTCCGACACTCAGTACTTTAAGCTCCAGCTGCAGGTTGATGGTGGAACATGACCGACAGAACCAGCGCTTCACCGTCACCCCGGGCAGCGGAACCGGTAAGCAAATATAGCCTGAGCTGACGCTCCAGTGCCGGGAGAGATTCTGTAAGAGAACCCGGCGTCCACTCACGGCCTCCGGCAACACATTTCTTCGTGATAGATTAATTTCCACAGAGAATATTAATATACCGTTTCAGCCGTGTATATGAATTCTGCATCGTACGCCGTACTCTCTACAGGAGAGACGCTCAGCGAAACTTAATTTAAAATCAGATCATTTAAAGTTACTTTTCCCGTGTTAAACCGTTGCACTACCGATATGAATGACTCATATTTTATAGGATTTGTTTCTAGTCGCTTAACAGTTCGGCATAGTTTTTACCAGCAAAAGTAACACATTTCAGTACACTTTTGGCAAATTGGCCACAGTAGTAGCAGGCAAGCAGTGCCTGTCTAAATAAAGGTATTTGGTATTGTTTATTAATTATCTATCCACCTGATTTACTTTTTCCCCCATATGGTTACAGGGTAACAGGGTCACACACACACACACACACACACACACACACACACACACACACACACATACATACATACATACATACATACATACACACACACACGACTAGATTGTTAATAGTGATACAGATGTAAGCAGCAGCTTGAGGTGGAGGATTTTAAATTTAGTGTAAAGTTGTGTTCTCTGTCCACAGGGGCCCATGAATGTGCGGTGCTGAACTACAGATTCACTGGGGAGAAGGAGGTGGATCTAATGTCGACCTATGTACCAGAGACATTCAGGGGCCAAGGTGTTGCTGCACTGCTGTCTCAGGTAAGAGTGTTAGACGGTCAGTCAGTTGTGTCAAGACATATAGTGGGCTCCAAAAGTCTGAGACCACGTTACTATTAAAGTAAATGGGAATATTACATGTTTTTTTTTTTTATTTAATGTATTTTTACAGGCTGCCATGGACTATCTGGTTGAAGAAAACCTCAAGGCTCATGTCTCCTGTTGGTACATAAGGAAATACATTGAGGACCACCCATTGCAACATTTAAAGGACCTCATCATCACTTGACTTCAGCTTATTTTTCCAACTATAGCCTGAACTGCTACCTCAAGTCAACTACAAGCTCATACCTCACTGTACAACACTAGAGGCCAAAGGGATGATGTAAAGCTACTAGTTGATCTGTGCAGTTAAATGTTGTAGTTATGAGTAATGATTCTTTTTCTCTGGAATTGTCTGAAGTTTCATATTATAGAAATAATTGATCAGACCTGTCAAAGTCAGGCATAGTATAATTCAATTTTATTTTGATGATCTTAAACCAGCAAATTTGTGTGTTATTCTTATTAGATTGCTCTTTTTAATCTTGTATCTGTATATATGTTATAATTTCTCACAAACTTGATTATATTTATTAATTATTCAATGTTGGGACAACACATTAAAATCTTAATCAAGGCTTAATGTTTAGATATTGACAATGTCTGCACCGTTTTTTATGACAAATTTTGTGACTAATATTTAGCCAGAGTAGAACTTTGTGCTTGTTGACAATTAAAGCATTAACCTTTCTTTTTTAAGTATTAGGAGGTTCCGAATGAAAGGTTAATTATCATTATGGGCATCTAGTCTGACTGCCTGAAATTAAAAAACTAAGAAACTTCAATCCTCTGACCAAAGTTCTGTTTTTTAATCTCGAAGGAAGAGAGAACACACCTGGGCTGCTGAATCTGAAAGAACAAATAGAGATAAAAAAATTTAACTAAACTCAATAAATCAAAGTTAAGGATAAGAACAAAAGAGTAACATAAACTTCTCTCACCAGAACTGCTGCCTCATACAAAGGTGGAAACGAATGAACAATAACCTTGAAGTGACCAGGTGAACTTAATCATGTAAATGTGGGGGTTGCAAGGGTCCAAAAAAGAGCCAATCAGTGATGAGAAAAGGAAAGGAAGTGGAAAAATTTTCTATAAAATATGGCTGCAGTCGAAAAGTCTTTGTTTAGGAAGGTTCAAACTGAGTGAAATGACCTAGAAGTATCAGAGGAGGAGCCATGATAAGAGCGGGTCCAATTCTCTAAATGATAAGGAAAGGAGCTTCAATGCTTCCTATCTTATCTCCTTTAGCATACGAAACACTGGACCTTTCTTTTCAATAGAAAAAGAGAAAACGCTGTCCCACAATTCCTTGCTGCAGCGACATTTAAAGCGACGCACTATTGTAGTTTCACCACGGCAGACCCACATAAATGTAGAAACAACAGAGAATCAGTTTGTGCCACGATCCAAAACTGATGGAAATCCTTACATGATCGACTGAGCTCCAAATCCATAAATATAGATTTCTTCTCTTTCAGATCTGTCCAGGTAGGAGTCATCATGAAGAAAGAGCATATTGAATTTATACTTAACAATATAATATTAATAATAATAAAACACTATTTACATAAATGGTTTCATGGCTGAATATAATTTATTCTGGCTCCTTGTTCAGTTGCTGATTCTTCGACCGCAGTCTGTTTATAAGTATCAGGGGAAAATGTTAAGGATATGTGAGTATTCACATGTAATTGAAGATAAAATGATGACTCCTGTAAAGAAAATGACAAGGATTAAGAGAAAGTTGTACAGCGATACTTGAAATGGATCTAATACTGTACATACATCTATCACACAACTTGCTAAATCCTGAAATGCTAAAACATCAAGGCATAAAAAAAAAAAACTAAATATAATAAACTAAATGAAATATGGCCTAAATATGGAATTAAAGCGCTGTAGACAATATCATGAAATACATTTAATTAACCAATGTAAATAATGTAGAGTGTAGAGGAATGAACTAACACTGCACAGTTGTGGAGTGAACATAGATTTGCAACAACCTACCTGCAGGGTACCTCGAAAAACTGCCAGTGAACCGAGGAGAAGTGATACTGTTTTAAAGCAAAGGGGAAGTCACAGCAAATATTGACCTGATTCATGTCTGTGAATGTTCTCATTCGTCCAGGTCATAGTTATCTCTCTCTCAAATTAAATCGAAGGCAACTGGACTTGTATTTGTCTGTGGAAGACGTTTCGCCGCACTAGTCTGAACGTTCAGACTAGTGCGGACTAGAGAGACCAATACATGATGAACTGATGAAGCCGCTTGGATAAGAGGCGAAACGTCTTCCACAGACAAATACAAGTCCAGTTGCCTTCGATTTAATTTGAGAGAGAAGTTACCTGATTCATGGTATGTATGAAGTTAAGTGATGAATAAAGACTATTCATGGCATCATTTGTGAAACTGTCCTCACTTTACTTTTGGTGCCTAAAGCTGTTGCACAGGACTGTAAATGCCGACTGACTGATGTTGCCAACTTTGTTTTGCCTCAGTTCGACCTGAAAACCAGTTGTTCCTGGGAACTACTACTTTGAGATTTTTGTGGAGGTGGTGGATTTGGATCTGAAGACCTAGAAAAATGATAGAACAACTGCCCCGGGAATGGTATCAACCTGCCGTTTCATTCTCCATGATGTCCAAACATGCTGCTCTAGTGGTGAACAAACTGTTGCTTTGTAATCGCTGATATCCAATGTAACAGAACAAACAGAACCTGCTTGTAGTGAATTTGGCATTTATATACTATACAATATATACTATGATTTTTTAGCTTATATTTATTCACATTTTGTAAAGTTAAGTACGCCAAATTCACTATTAGCAGGTTCTATTTGCTCTGTTACATTCGACAATCATTGGATTCATTTCATACTGAAGAAAACTTACAAACACGATACTTCTCAGGCAAGCTTTGCAGTTATAAGGAGACAAATTTTTCTGTGATTTTTTTTTTTTTTTTTTTTTTTTTTACAGGTTTTTGTTGTGAGAGGGACAACAGAGATGACTGTGTGTGCACATTTTGACTGAGTTATGACTAAATACAAATGGTGGCAATCGGGTGCTTCAGGTGCTGAACTTTATTACCTCCATGAGCTGTGCATCGGTGCTGCAACTATTGATTGTGTTCATAAGCAGACAAACTTCAATAAGTAACTTTCTGTTGTTTTTAGATCTCCTGCACGTAGATGACCTTCTCACCTCACAAATGTCAAACTTATTGTACATGGAAACAATAATTGGTCCAAATGACAACAGCCTGCCCAAATCAAATTTTACCCACGTAGTTAAAGAGAATGTATCCTCATCTGGAAACACTGTATGAGCTAAATGCTAATTAGAACAACATATAGCTGAGACTGAGGGGATGTTATTTGTTTTTTAGATAGTCATAAACCAAAGTTTTTGAGGAATGTATATATTTATATATATATATATTTGAGCAGGTGATAGCAACAGAGGACAGATTAAAATAAATTTTATGGAAAACCATCCAAAAGTTGATATTTCACTCAAAACTACAAATGTCAACTTCATGGTGTCACAAGAGGGTGAGTCAGGAGATCTTTAAAGGCATTACAGTTTATCCTCTGAGCACTGGTGGACTGACTGACCAACAGACTGACACTAGCATCAGTAGAGCCGTGGAGCTAGCGTGTCTGGAAATGCATGTATGATAGAATAAGTTGGTATCTCTGTAGGCGCTCTGGGTGATGACTTAAATGTTCACGTATATCATTATTCAATAACATGATTAAACAGTGAAAGACCACTACACAGTCAGACTGTAAACTTGTGTCAGTAGTTGCTGCATCTCCGCATCACAAGATTACATCAGAACTGGAAGGAACGAGGGGGAAAAAAAAAAAGCTGCAAAAATAACACCCACTTCATAAGACACTGTAATTTTCCTTTAGCTACGACCTCACCATGAGCCTAGAGTCTCAGATGAAATCAGCACATGTTGGGCGAGCACAGTATATCTTGGATTCTCGCCACTTAACGAGATTAGTTCTGCCACCACAGCAGCAGAAAGTACTGCAGCGTTCAACCAAAACACAGCATCCGGTCGGCTGCAGGGGGGTGGGGGTGGGGGGGTGGAACGGTGCCTTCAGGCGGAACCAGATGATGAGAGATCAGCCGCTACAGGAGGATGTAGTGACTGAGCTTCTGACTTTAACAATAAAGGTTTTAAGTGAATTTGGCCGAGTTGTCTTCCTCCTTGTTTTCAGAAGCAAACCATTCAGTTAGAAGCACACTCATATTTTATTTTTGCATCTTCATTACATCTTTAGTGACAAGCGTGATTAAGTGATACACCATCCATTCCAATCCATTCCATCCAAGATGTATCGTATAGTTTCGTTCCAATAGACGTCAGTCTTACTCCATTAAAGACATTTGGCCTGGTGCTGTCAACGTTTGATTTATATCTCAAATGAGAAAATGTTCAACATCCATTAAAACATCAGATAAGTCGTTAGAGCTGAGACCATCAAAGACGACAGCTGTTTCAAGAAAAATGGGGAAACAGGAAAAGCAAATTCCTGATTTAAATTTGAATACAAAGTAGATTCTAAACAATCAGCGACAGAACCGAAGCCTGGATACAAATGGTGCATTTTGTTGATATTCCCAGTGAGCACCATCAAAACTGTGAATTAAGATTGACTTGTATGTATATGCGCATACCGTAAATTTTCATTTACAGAGCAACGAGTCCTGGCTGATCTTCTCAGCCCAGTACGAGCTGTGTGACGAACCGAGCGCAAACACACACACACACACACATCTGTCCCTGAATACCAGTATAATACTCACAGTGTTGCTCTGGACACATGAAATGTTCTTTTTTGAGACAACAACAACAACAGGGCCTCAGACACAAACATGTTGAATGACACCNCCCCCCCTACATACAGACCGACCTCTAGACTGAAAGACACAAAACAGTCGCTTGCATTGTTTCTAGTCACTTTGTGTGTCTTTGTGGTCACTTTATGTCTCTATGGTTGTGTTATTGCTTTGCAGTCACTTTGCGTCTCCTTGTGGCTGTTTTGTGTCTCTTTGTGGTCATTTGTGTTTCCAACAAGATATACTAAGTCACTTTAACCAGAGTCTCTGATCCAGCGGGCCCCTGATGCTTCGGGCCCCTGGTCCTATAATCCTTTCACGTTAGTATACCACAGTCATGTTTTCATTGAGATCATTTTCTCGTCCCGACCGTTGTCCCTCCCACTGAGCAGGTGACCGACAAGCAACCGACAGCAACAGACAAGTAACATTTTATCTATAACTTGGATTAAAAAGGCCAAAGGTCTCCTCAGCCGAGACAGAGATGAAGGATCTGTGCTGCCGCTGCACACGGTCACAGCTTAGTGTGAATACGGTGGGATCCCTCCTCCCTTCCTCCAACAGACAATATCGCATGGAAAGATTTGATGAAATGCATGTTGGGTCAAAGCAGACCATGTTACATTATTTCCAAAAAAAGATTCTGAGCTCTGGCGTCCCAGACACACATTTGATGTGTGGCACAAAACAAACAAACACTGTCCTGAATTAGAAATTTAAATCCTAGAACAAAGAGTCAATCTAGGTCCAGGAAATCAGCCAGTGGGGCACGGGACAGGGATCATGACTCCATCTTTAGCAGTATGCCTCTCCTTGTTGTTCTGGTACATTGTCCATTTCCACCACGTACGTGGTTCCTGTGGAGGGCTTGTGGCCGTTCACCGGCAGTTCTAGCGGTGCCTCCGCGTCAGCGGGCACAGCCGTCAGGTACATGTCCCACATCTGTTCGGGAAAGTCAAGCTCCATCATCTTCTGCTTGATCATCAGGCTCTTCTCGATGTTCCGCCGCTTGTATTTAAACTCTATGATTGTCTTCGTGTACCTGTTCAGCGCTGTCACCGCAGAACCCATGCAGGTGCCAAAAGAGCCCCACGCTAAGCTGAGAAGAAAACAGAGTCAGACTCAAGTCAGTCTGCTGCTGATGGAGGAAGGTTTTTATGCACACTTGTAAAGAATCTGAATCTTTTTTTTCTTGTAACGTATAAACTGACACTGCCGCTCCTGTGCATCATTTTAAATAGAGGATAACATAGTGTTTTTGACACTATAAGAGTAAACAGCTAGTTTCTCTAAAACTGCATTGGTCAGTGATGATGATGAGTGAGGGTCAGAAATCTAAATTTACTGCTCACTAATGAGGAAACTAATGAGCATCTGCTATAAAGTGAGCCAGTGAGTGAACAAAAGAGTAGTTTTGGACACATATTCTTTAGTCAGGGGCATTTGAGGGCTGGCTCTCAGTGTTAAAGGACCTGGGACTTATTTTCCATGTTTTTAGGTGTAAATCTTTGCAATCGGTGCAGTGTTGAGCACGAACGGCTTTCCTGATGACAACTGTGTAAAACAGCTACTGCAATGTAAACAACAGGATTCATCAGGCATATGTAATATAATCAGTTTATTAGGTAGGCCAAAGTAAAAGTAAGTCAGTCCTCCAAAATGAATGAATGAATGAATATACTTATATACTGTATATATAGCACCGTTCATGCAAACAATGCAGCTTTACAATAATACTAAAAAAAACACACGTCTAAAACTATACACATACAAAACGAAGGTTTGTGCATGTGCTTAAAAAATACTATTCATAAAACAGCATTAACACAGCCAATGTTACTATAAAAATGATCCCACAGTTGAATCAACACCTTTCTAAAATATTTTGAATAAAAACTGAACATTACAACCTTCATGGAACATTGACACAACATGGTTTTCCTCCTTTTTGCAGTCCACACAGCGCTTGGTGACTTCAGACATCTGTCCCTTTAGATCTTTACAGATTTGGGTGGACCTGTCCTGCTGTTAAGTTTGTGTTTAACTGGGAAAGTGGGAGCTAGTAAGCCTGGCTTACTAATGTTACCACTAAGATGTTAATCTTAGTTCATGTTATTTCAGCACCTGCTGAGTCACTGGCAGCTCTCACACACTGAGGCTGCATCTGAAACCACTCCCCATTTACCACATAGTGCACTACATTACTGTCCGCCATCTTATTTGAGTGCCCAAAAAACACCACAATGTCCATAAGATGTACACTTCCTTATGCTAACAATCCCTAAATGCAATGCTCCGCATTCTATAGATGAGAAAATTATGTGAGTAATAAAACATGATGATGATTAGAGTGATATGTGATGATAAATGTCTGAAATCTCAATTCACTGCTGACTACAATTCAGTGTGCATCGCATGAGGAGGAGTGAATGAGAGACCGAGTGGGTGGCTTCAGACACAGCCGCGGTTTGTGTTCGTCCTGCATTAGAGAAAGCAGCAGGAGTCTGAGATTAGGCAGCGTTAACTGTCAGGGGTCCAGATGAGATGAATAACCAGACAGTGAAAACTTACAGCAGGAGGTCGAGCTGTAACATCAGCACTCGTACGTAACTCTGTTAATCACAACATCTGGAGTCATGAAGTAACGTATGGAGAGCTCGGCTTAAACAACATCGTCACCTAGCTGCTTAACTGTCTATGAACTATTGTAGGTACTGGACCAATCAAAATGAAATCATAGCACTGACATCATCAATTTTGGCTCACAAGTCAAAACAAACACAAAGGATATATAGTATATACTGTTTCATTTGGCTTTGATGATGCATTTTTCAATAGATGTAAAAAAAAACATGCTTACACATAAGACCAGCTGTAGTCCCAGGTCTTGGGCCTCCAGTCTTCTGGTCCCATAGCGACAGCCAGCTGGAATATGGTGGTAAACATCATGTGGGCCACCATCCCACAAAGGCCTGAGGACAAGAGCACATCAGTGTTCTTTCTGAAGTAAAATGTACATAGGAAATCCTATCCTATCCTTTTTCCATTACACGTCTTTCTTATCAAAATATGCTGTAAGTGCAGTTGTTTGTTCGCAAACAAATGGAAAGTGAGATATTTAAGGAACAAATATTCACTGACAGTTTGGTCTGTAGACACAGTGTTGGAGCCTGAAACAATCTCTCACTTTTATCTTCAGTCCCTCAAAAACTGTGATGTTTGATATTCAGATATTCTCTGGGTGAGGTGAACTGGGCTGTGCCTCTCTCTTATCTCCCTGCCACATCCTGGCCCTCTCGCATCCAGCAGTCTGCCCCTCCACAGCTGCTTTTCTTGGGATTAACTCCTAACAACAGGGGGGGATGGGAGTCAGGGGATGGGGGAGTAGAGGGGGCGGCAGGGAGGGAGCTCCTCTGGTCAGGTCTTGGCACGGCCCGAAACCACTGCCCCGGCTCCAATCCGATTAGTCCACAAACCAGCAAATCCTCCGAGGCAGCGAGTGGACACAGTACAGTTAACTGCTGTGTGCTCACTGGTGCTGCCTGACCTGCTGCCCTGCTCCTCTGCTCTCTTACAGCAAAGATGTCTTCATGCAAAATACGCCTCCATGTTTACTACAGATTTCTTGTCAGAGAATAGATTTTCTTTTTGTCTTTGAATAAAACCAAGGCAAATACATCTACTAAAGACATGTTTTTCTATTTCGAACATACATTTTGTTTTGGAAGGCAGTTTTTTTTTTTTTTTTAATAAATTGCAGCTTATTTGTTGCAGAGCATTACAAGCACAGTTGAGGAAGGATAACTGGGCTTTAAGACCATAGACATTATTACAAAAACCTTTTTAACATATGGCACCAGCTGGATTTGTTGGGTCATCCTCATGCTTCAGTGTGAAACTCTGAAACGCTCTTTGAGCTGTTGGTGCATAAACACCTCTCAGAGGCAAAAATCATCTCTGGCTGCAGTGAAACACTAGAATAGATTATTTTCAGTAATTAATCATCTGTTAACTGATGCATTTTTAACAAGTTATGATATGATTGGTATGATTTGCAATAATGCATTTGTCTATAATGATTAATAAACTACTTTAAATTGTTAAATGAAATAATCTTTCAAGCCTTTAAGTTTACATTTTTATTCTTCTTCTCTTCTTTCATATTCCGTCTCATACCTGGTTTGTCTTTTGCATTAAAGCAACTCTGTGTAACTTTAGCTAAACAGCGGTTACAAGTGATAATTACAGGACGATAGTGAATGTTAAAACACAGTGTATTGAATGTAGTGAATGGAGCAAGGGTGCATTTCATTGCCTATAAATTTCATTTTCCATTTGTAAGGAAAAGAATGTGTTAGTTCCTCTTTCAGATGTTACATAATCTGGAGTCAATGTTCACAGTTTGTTTTAACCATACTTAAAAGACACAGCAGGTCTCTTTATTCACTAGACGCAACATTTAGAATTTTAATTATTAAGTGGCCCCTTTAATGGTCATTAAACGCCAAATCTAATTCATTTACTTAAGCAGCTCTAATTAATACTTTACAATAAAAGTGTACCAAATATGAAAAATGTGAAAAGGGTTTGCATTACCAGAATTACCAGGTGAGTCAGCAGCTCCACTCGGCTTTATAGTTTTACAGTGAGTTTGAGCTCATTGTTTCTCTGTCCGGAGCACAGCTTCACTGTTCTGGTTCACTCTAACTGCTCCCATAGTGTCGTTTTGGGCCACAGCAGCAGCTCAGAGAAAAAGCTCTAATAAAGCCACTACCTGCTCAGCAGCAAACCATGCCATGGGAGCATTAATTCAGGAAGTGCTCATACGGGTCGTATCAGAAGGTAGGCACAGACGACCTGTATGGCTGTTAAGGTTGGAGGACTTGTTGATTTAAACAGTGATGATATGTCAGTGTTGTGTTCACAACTTGTTTACGATGCACCCAATCTCTAAATAAAAAATCAGTTATTGCCAGTATAAAGATGTATTTCTTTATGCATAATTTAAAGACAAAACATTAAAAAACTGACTTATCAATGATGCAGGTACAATGCAGGCACAATGATGTTTTTTAAAAAAAATATAATTCAGGTGGTTTCATGAACTTAAAATATGAGCAGGATCCTTTACTTGGACACCTGTAGACTAGGATGACAAGTGTACATTTGTAAACTTGTTGGTTCAGTAGGCCAACAAACGAACTGATGATCCTGTCTTTTGCATTTGATCCAGTCTAATGTAACCAGAGAAACTGCAGGTCTCTGGCCACACCCACTGGGGTTACCCTATACCAATCAGATTATTTCTGCCTCAGAGCAACGTTTGTATAACTGTAACTCCAATCACACCCACCACGGGATTTCTACGAGTAGCAGCTTTATCACAAGAAGAGGTCAACATCAGCTGCTGTGACTCAAAAACATTAGATACACCCACGCCAACGTCACACAGTCACACAGTCACGAATTAACTAGACAATACTCGAAATAATTGTTCCTTACTTATTGAAAAAAAACACATTGACATAAAACACCAGAGCTTCTTTTGCAGTGTTACCTGACAGGGCAGTGCACAAGGCAGCGAAGGCACTGAGCTTCAGTTTGTTCATGATACTGAAGCAGGGACACTGCTCCAGAGTCATCAGAGCCCCCCCTGTGAAGAGCAGGGTGAGGTAAAGACTCTCAGCCACGATACACAACCACAGGACCCCTGGGAACAAAGAAAACAGAGAGAGGGAGGGAGGGAGGGAGATATGAATTGAGCTGTGTTGTCCTCATAATACCCAGTCCCTGATGAATAAATCCCACTTGTCTGACGGCAGACATGCATGTGGGTACAACAGGTCTGCTCCTTTCAGGTCGGGAGATCTGAATCTGATCGCCTGGACTGGGTGGATTTATAAAATAAGGACAGCAGCCAAAGCTGGATCACCAACCCCAACTTCCCCGGGGCCCAAGCCCCACTCCCATGGGGCCCCAAAAGCTTCAAGTTTACTTTATATCAACTAGTTGTGCTGTTTAAGAATTTTTTATCATATCAGCTATGATGGACCCCGTCATAACTGAACGTTATGGCCTTGGTCTTGTAGAGTTTGTTTATTTATTTACTGTAGTTTTACGACCTTTATTAATATATAACAGTTTAATGTTACAGATATACACAAAGTTTATTATGATTTTTTTCTGCTTTATAAAAAAAAAATAAATAAATAAAATGATTTATGAATTTTCTAAAGCGCCACTCAATCTGGCAGCCAACTATTCAATTAATCAACTTATGATTTCATTTCTGAAGTGCTGGTTTCTGTGTGTACTGGGGGTCCACATGGGCCCACCAGCAAATCTTTGCCCCAGGTCAGATCTCACACTACAAGTGTAGGTTAATAAGTATGAGGAAATAAGTATGCATACCTCAGTATTGCACTTAAGTACAGTACTTGAGTAAATGTGCTTAATTACTTACTTAATTACTACCACCACTGGCCAAGTTTAATATTATGCCAAAATAACCCATCAAAAGAAGTGGGAAGTGAATAATGTCTGCAAATATTCTGGCGTTGATGAAGAGATGTTTGATGATGGTTGATGTTGGACACCAAAAATAGCTTGTTTCCTTGACTACGGTTGAAGTCAAAGTAAATGTTGAAATTTAGGTAGCTATGTTAGCGCTGTAACATCCAACAGTGTTACCTGTGCTGAGGAATGCATTACACAATCTCTCTTTAAAACAAAGAAATCTGTTCATAGTTCAACAATTTCAGCTTCGGCCATTTTACCAACCTCTTTCATGCTCTGGTGCGATCTCTGAGAAGTCTCGACAGTCAAATCCTGTGATCGGAAGAAAAAAATACAGTAAAATTAAGTTATTGTTACAGAATTAACTTTTGGTAACACTTCATTTCCTGATAATTTCTTAGGTCGTTTCCTGGAAGAAAATATAAAATTTTGTTGTAATTATAGAAGAAATAAAATCCTTCTTCACAGGTTTGATCTACTGAAGTATTTCTGCTGTAGATGCCTGTAATAGCTGTGAAAGAGTGTTGTAATATTACAAGATAAAAGCTGCATTATTCCAATGATTTCTACAAACATGGACAGTCAACAGCCACAGCTGGAGATGTGAAGTTATTTCATCAGATCAGATGATACCTGACCAGATGAAATCAGCAGCTGTGTGGTCGTCTACTGATTACAAGGTTAGTGGTTTCCAGCTCCTCCAGTTCACATGTCAAAGTGTTTTTGGGCAAGATACTGAACCTTAAATTGCCCCTGATGGCTGTTCTATCAGTGTATGGGTGTGATGTATGAATGTGTGAGTGAATGGGTGAATGTGGCAAGTATGGTAAAGCACTTTGAGTGGTCGGTAAGACTAGAAAAGTGATATATAAGTGCAGTTTCATATATTGGTCAAGTCAGTAGATGAAACAACTTGTCTCTAAATTGCATGCAAGTCCTTTTACAAACTTATTTTACTCAGCCTTATTACCAGAGCTTATGAAACCAAATGGGACGGCTTGCATGCAACGCTCGGAGAAATGGTTTTAATCCGGTTCTGACTCACAGTAGCTTTGCTATCAGTGTGAAAAACTAAATCTATCAAAAACTACACTGTGATGAGTATGAATCATGCATTTACCTTTTCTGCATTCTGATGATAATTACACTTCCCGAGATGCACACAGAGACGTGCTATATGCATGTTCTCTCATTTGTTTATTTAAAATTACAGACTCTTGCAGTTGCCTGTGGTGTTATGTTGCTAAGGGGCACATCATCAGTCAGGGGAAACTTAAAGGCCCTGAAAACATATTTCCCTCAATCAGCTTCTTTCTTCGAGCAATGAGATCCTATATGAACAAAACAAGTTTGAAGTTTGTTTTTTGTGTAGTTTTTTCTCCACGTTCTTCTGCAGCATTTTTCTCTCTGCTCCGAAAAACTGCCAGTCAAGTCTGATCAAATCACATCCATACTGTCATGAAAAGGCAAATTATGATGAGTTTTTTTGAGTTACAATCTAAACACACACTACTAAATGCATGTACATACATCTTCTTAAATATAATATATAAAAATATAATCATTCATTCTGCAATAGCTTATGCTGCATAATGAGTACTTCACTGTTGGCTCTTAAAGGAGGCTGTATATTTGATGTTTTTGTAGGACATGTAGGACATTTTCGTGGTTACCGGCTGCAGCGGTTCAGTGTTGAATGAATCCTCTGGAGTCCAGGTTGATTATGAATCATTTTTGTTGACTTTCTTTGTTTAGCACCTTTGAATCTGTCCCTACCCCACATGCATGATGTTTTTTACAGCACAATCTCATCTACAAGTCCGACTTCTGATTTTGTCAATTTAACAAAGTGTAAAGCTGCCAGGAACCCAAATTATACAAAAAAATGATCCAGGTGCTCATAAACATGTACAAATCTTCAGTCATAATATGATAATAGATCTAGACTGTTAAAATCATTCATTTCACAATTTACACACCTACAAATTCAGCACAAATAAAGTGTAAGAAATAAAACTAATACTGACTATTTTACATGTAAAGTGACTTTATCCCAATATGTCTGCGTGTAAATCACTGAATATATTCATGGCTCAGTTTTAAAAATTTCTTTCAGACAAAGATGAGGTACTGTTCTACAGCCCCACGTTAGCACTTATACATGGTTTTCCCACCTTGTCTCTACATGACATGTCAATAAAGTTATGCTACTGTAATTTACACACAAAATCTATTACATGTCTGGCAGACGGATCCCTCCTCCGCTGCCTTTGAGGTTTCCTCCATTTTTCCCTTTTAAAAAGGTTTTTTGGCAAGTTTTTCCTGATATAACTGGAAGGTTTAAGGATGACTTTCCGTCAATAAAACATGTTTATATGTATTCACCAATGAACAGACTGACTCCAGACGGTGACATTATATATTATATAACCTGCAGATTTTAACAAGAGGTACCTCCTCCATCGTTACTTCCTGTCTTTGAACACCTAGCTGAATGCTGAAAGGCTCAAAGTCTTCGTTGTCAATGGTCTTACCGTTCATGTCAACGGCCTGCTCACAGGAGAAAAATATGCCCGTGTGGAACTTCCTCAACAGAAACTTCTCCTCTCCGGTCTCGAAGATGTACTGCACCAGCCGGGTGTCATTGATGTTGGAGCTGTTGAAGCGGATGCAGAACCACTGCTTCACTTTCACAGGCGGTCCTGTGCAGAAGGGTTTGGCCACCTTCCTGGTCCCCTCGCACCAGTAGCTGGTGGTCACCGCTGATAAGGCAAAAGCAAACGCCACAAAGTTGAGGGTGAGCGCCAGAGAAGCCCGCCGCCCGTGCTCTAGCCTCATGGTCGAGGCCAGGCCAAAAAGGAGATGAAATGAAAAGGCAACTAATCCTGGCTTTCGATATGTAGCCACCGTGTTTCGCCTCCCAGCAGATATATCAAATCTTCATAATCTTGTTGCCCTTGGGGCTGCTTGGGTGAGACTTGTGTATATCCCTCCGCTGGCTCTAATGAAGCGCCGCCACCTTGATTAACGGATTCACTCTCTCTACTTCCACAGAAACAATAGAAACCCATGGCAGCCCAATGACTCTTTGTTTTCCTCTGCTTCATTTGAACCTTTTCACTCCTCACTCTCTGCTGCTCGTCCAAGCCCGTCGCTCCTCCCCTTCTACAAATCTTTGCCTGGAATATTATCCATTACAAATGGCAAATTATATTCCAGACTTCCTTTGAGCATATTAATAAGTAAAAAGATTACTATGGTCTTATATTATAATCCAGGACAAGGCTCTTCCTGTTAATATTCTCCCTCATTTTTCTGCATTTCATGTCGGAGCGTATCTCTAAGTAATTGCAGCCACAGGCATAAGATCAATTGACTGTCTTACAGTCGGTGACCCATGACATAATGTGCACAGTCTCATATGAAAAGCCATCCATAATGTGTGTGTACATGAGGTGAAAATCTATTCGCGTCTGATAGCCTGCTGATCGTGAAAATGAAGACAAATTACTTACAGAAGTGTGTGAAGGAGATGACAGATGTTAGGAGAAAACATCTGCTGCCTTTAGTCTCTATAATTTTCCATCACTCCATTAAACTTGCCATAAAACCCTGCAGCTCAGACTCTCGGTAACAAACGTGTCACCTTTGGTTTGAGCTGTAATTTACCGCGGGGACACTGTTGTCATTTTAAAAGCTGAAATACAGAGGTGAGATACATAATTTCATCTCGGTCTAGCCAATATCAGATGATGCTATATGAAATTCAGACAAATGGACAAGCCCATAAATGATCTGCTAATACGTTAAGACTGCGGGTATTAGGATCCTTTAAGGTATCGCAAGATAAATCGGACAGGTTGTGAGATTCACCATTTCGTAATTAGCACTAAACACGAATTAAAGCTGAGGCTGATGGGAATATGATTAGTTGTACAGGTATTTAATCATAAACCAAGATATTGGATAAATTAAAATTTTGACCTCATGGCGTCTCAAGAGAAAAAGGTGAGGGATCACATAAGTTATTACAATTCATCTTGTGGAAGACATGAATGTTTGTAGCAATTTTCATGATAATTCAATAGTTGCTGAGATATTTCACTCAAAACCATAAATATGAACCTTATGATGGTGCTAGAGTTAAAGTCAGGGGATCGCCAAAGTCACCAGAGTTCGTCCTCACGGGACCACGAATTTCTGTACAAATTTTCATGGAATTTGATCCAACAGTGGTTGAGATATTTCAGTCTGAACCAAAGTGGTGGACCCGCCCCTGAATTTTAGCTTTTATTTACAAAAAACTGGATACTACAGTTGTCCTTCTTTAGGCCTCTAAAACTATTTAAATGAAATTACTCTTTGGTTGACCTGCTTGACTTCAAAGGCGACAAGCCGAAAAGGTTTGGAACAAATCAGCATTAAGCTCAAAGGACGGCACGGTTGGTCCGTCAACAACAGCTATTGGATGGATTGCCATGAAGAAGAGGAATCTTATGGACTTTGATGATCCCCTGACCTTTTTCCTGGCGCCACCATGAGATTCACATTTTTAGTTCCGATACTTCCAGTTCCTCAGGATAAATTGTGATAACATTTTTTACTTCTCATATAGTGCCACCAGCTACTGTAACGTTAGCATGTAGCTCCAGTCACTGCTGCTAGAGAGGCTCATGACCGTGGCCTGGTTTCACAACATGAGCAGAACCCTAAAACCTGAGTATCCCATCAATCACATTAACCATGTAATGTTTTCTGTGTCAAATCCCAAATACAAATTAGGATTACTCTCATTTAAATCCTCCACTGTAGTTTGAGAACTACAACACTGATCATGTTCAACTTGTGAACATGACAACAGCCACCATGGTCCAGAAGTTTAGAACTGAAGACCATGTTGAATGATTATCAACCAAGACCACCACAAATCGTCTAAATGAGCAGTGTTGGTTATTTTCTTTTTTATATTTAACACGGTGTTTACTTTATACTAAGCGTATAAAGAATATATTGTTTATTGGAGTTCCCACAGGAAGTCAGTTAAAACAGAAAACTAATGTTATGTTTTTTTCTTTTCACATCCATAAAAGTTTAACATTAACATTAATATATAAAGTTAGTAAATTCCTCTTTAAACATGACAGCAGCATAATTCCCCTGAATACAAAGTGATTATTCTGAACATTAGCTTCCATGTATTAAAATTGTAAACACAGGACAAATCAGTTCAGCGTTACACTTGATGAAGTCGTAAGCCTGTTGTACAGTGAATGTTTCCTACACTCATCCCTTGTTACATAAGAAATACCTGCCAGTAAAAGCCGTAATATCAGAGAGCGACTGGCAGATGTGAGGCTTCAGTGTATGCCTTTTCCCCTGAGACAGGGACGCTCCACAATTTTATGATGAAACCTAAATGTTATGTGATTATGTAAATCCAGACAATGACATTTACAGACTAAAGAATGATTTGAGGTTTCCTAATCTGATAATGAAAAAGGTATATGCGGAGTTCCAGTTAGACGCTCCCAGATTACATTTGGTGGTTGGAGAGGAAAATAAAGTATAAATTAAAAAAAAAATTCCCAATACATCTGTATTAACTGTCCTTTAAAGTCATCAAATGTTGTTGGCGCTACACTCTGCAGCATGCTGCAGGATTATAATGAGCCATGCGTCACTTTGTTTACCGTCATGTCAGATTTAAGCGGTGGCCTCTTGGTCCCTAACGCATGAGAATCACGGATAGATTACTGAAGATTAATGTTGAAGCCAGTCACAATATCTGTCTCACACACATGTCTGACAATACACTAGGAATTCTGTTTTCCTCTCACCTTTATCACCTGTATACAATCACATAGGTTCAGCTCTAATACATTAACTTGGCCTGATAAACTGGTAACACTTGTCAGCTGGCAGCACTGGAGAATTTGAAGCAGTTCGTATTCATTGCTTTAACAAGACAGTCATTGAATTTAATGTCTATTAAATTTCAAGATAAGGTGTTAGCTAATTTTGTGTTCATTCGTTAAATGTAATTCTACCATCAAACAACTCTATTATCAACTCAACTATATTATTGTATGTCTTTCAACATAAAAGCCCCCACAGAGCCAAAGATGGACATATCAGGTACTTTTTAGTTTAAGTGTCAGTAACATCATATAATTAAAGTCTTTATCATTTCTGACATCAGCATCATGTGTAGCCTTAACAGGCCCCCCCACCACCCATCCCAAAAGCATGTGGGTTGAGGCCTCTTTTAGCTCAACTCCAACGAACCCCTCCTACCGACGACTCAACCACCATCATTTCAGAGCAACATTTGCTCATTCTGGTTCTTTTAATTACCTTCACTCGCTGTGGTGTCGGCACCACTGCAGCAGATGGTCTTGTAATCTGGTCTGAGACACTGGAGACACGGATAATCTCACCCCATTGGAGAGGAGCAGCCCACACCACACAGGGCTGCACGACCACCCCCAGCGTCCAAACAAGTACACATTAACCTATATGATCAAAACAAGAGCAAAAGAGTTTGTCATCAATCTAGTTCCTCAAGTACTTGGAACTCATTAACCGTCAACCCCACCATGGTTATTACAAAACAATATATATGCTATTTACATTGTTTATCAAGTAGGAATCACAGGTAAAGGTAATAACTTGACATCTGGGAATTGATCATGACATCACATTTTGAAGACCTGCTGTGACGTACATTAATCTGTATCCTTACTTTAGCTGGAATAGATGCTGTAAGATGTTTTTGCCTCCACTACTCACATTAGTTGTTTTTTTATTTTTTAAATTAGCTCATAGATGAGAACTAAAATACATTTAGTAGCTTTTGTTCCAAAATAAAACAAAATTATTAAACTCAGAGTTGGCAGATGGGATTATCGTTTGAGCAAAAAAAGATGCAAAAGGCATAAGAAGTCTCCCAGATGTTGACCTTTAAAGTGTTATCTACCTGTTGTGTTTAATCTTCTGCTTATACCTCCAGTATTTAACTGTGTCATAGTGAGGTGACGTGGTTATCCCCTTAATCTTCATGACAGCTGTCTGGATTTAGGTAGTGATGACCATAATCCCATTTGGCACCTTGAGGGGCTGCCAGGGTGAACACAAAGCAGAGTAAAGCGAACCAGCGCCGCGGAGGTTTTACCGCCAAAACACAGGAAAGAAAAAGACGTTGTAGTTTCACCTTTCTGAGCAGGATGGGGAATACTAAGAGCAGCGCTTTGTCGAAGGAGCTCCTGGACGAATTGAAATCCAACACAAAATACTCAGAGACCGAGCTCTGCACTTGGTACCAGTCCTTCCTGAAGGAGTGTCCCAGTGGGAAGATCAGCAAGGAGCAGTTTGAAGGCATCTACGCCAGCTTCTTCCCAAACGCAGACCCCACGGCGTACGCGCGCCACGTGTTCAGGAGTTTTGACACCAACGCGGATGGCACTTTGGACTTTAAGGAGTACATCGTCGCTCTGCATCTCACCTCTGGGGGAAAGACTCTGCAGAAGCTGGAGTGGGCCTTTGCCCTGTACGACGTGGACGGGAACGGAACCATCAGCAAAAATGAAATCGAAGAGATCGTTAGGGTACTTACACCTTCTCCTTTCATCTGGTGGTGCAGAAAACAGTATGCTGTGTAGCTGTGTACACAACCATAAGTATATTTAATAAAAAATTAGCTTAATACCTGCATAATTAATAACTACTGACTTCCTCTCAGCCTCAATCCAAAAGCTTTTTGCAACTTTTACATCGATAAATGTTAAAAAAAAAACAACCTTTATTATGTTTTGGTATTAAATCCTTATAGCTATGCAACATATGCAATAATCAATTTACAGAATAACAACCAGGCAAGAGCTGCAATCAGTGATCAATTAATCTGCCAATTGTGTCCTTGAATAATCGTGTAGTTTGTAAAAAGTTGGTCAACTGCCTGTCAATTCGGAAGATTATAATTTATTAAATTGCTTATTTAGCCCAACAAACAGGAAAATACTAAATAATGAATTAAAGTAGAGAAAAGCAGTAAATTATCGTATATAAGAAGCTAGAACCACTAATTGTTTAGTATTTTTGTTTGATGAATAACATAGCCATTCAATTAATTATCAAAATTGTTGCTGATTAATTTTCTTATTGTTTCAGTGACTGACGTTATTATTAAGGACATAAATACGTTATACCCTTTAAGCTATTTAAATTTTGTATGAGTCATCCACATTTCATGATGAAATTCTGCATGCACCGTTAAAAACATGTTCAAAAATTACTCTCACACAGTCAATATTCAACATGATTCCTACTGATGACCAGAAGAACCTCCCCGAGGATGAAAACACACCGGAGAAGAGGGCTGAAAAAATCTGGGAATTCTTTGGGAAGAAAGATAATGGTAATTCACAACTCATTAACTCCCTCTAAACGGTCTCAACACCTGCAACACCAGCATCTTTCAAGCCTTTTTAATACCTTTCCTATGGCTTTCTGTACCGTACTTATTCTGCTTTTGTCCTTTCACAGATAAAATTTCAGAGGGAGAATTCATTCAGGGCGTGATGGATAACAAGGACATCTTGAGGTTGATACAATATGATGAACCTCAGAAAATCAAAGACAAGCTGAAAGAGAAGAAGCAATAGTCTATGGGCAGGAAAAAGCCCTTCTTGTGGTTTTAAGACTGATTTATTATTCTGTTTACATTCTTACATGATCCAGCTGCTTCTACGCTTCACCCATGTTTCTCTGTTTTTTTTTTTGTTTTTTTTGGTCTTAGCAGCTGAACAGTGTTGTGTTTTTGTCTTTGTACCCTGAAAGCAATTAGACACTTGCATCTGATTCTAAAAACAGAGGCTGAGGAACTCTTGAAATGGCAATTTAAGCTCTAAGTTTGAAACTTTGTGCAGTTAGACTGTGTACACTGTGTATACTGAATGAATGGTGTAGAGTTAAGTTTTACACCTTATATGTATGTTTCAAACTTCAAACCCTTTTGCCTGAGCTTCACATCAGTGTCTGCATTTATTTCTCTTTGACTTCGTAAGGCAGTATAGAGCAGAATGTCCAAACTCGATGTCTATACACATTTAACAGAGCTTAACCATGACCCCTTGCACCTGCTGACAGCCAATTTACTCTCTCACGTCTGGCAGCGCACTGACATGTTTTCTCACACTTGGATTCATTCATTAGGTTGATAGCAAGAAAGTCAGACAGAGAGCTCCTTATGAGGGGAATTAGGCTCAGGGTAACAATCCGCCTGTATCAGCCTATCCTATTAGGAGCTGAAGGTCAGTTGAGACAAACCTCCTTACTCAAGTGTCTAGTTATGATGACAAGGGCTTGGTCCAGTGAAAAATACACTGCTTATTGTAAATATGCTCCTCTGGACAGCTTGTGTACTTCACACAGATCTAACAAGTGAGTGATAAGTGTAAGTGATAATGGATGTAGCAGTGCAAAAAAATTGTTTAAAACATGGAATATGTAATGACGACAGTGTATATTCACTAAAAACATTTGCCTTCTACCACATAGATGGATGAATAATCAATGACAAGGACAGAAGAACATTGTGACTCCTGTGCGTACATTGGTTTTGTAGCTTTTTGTGTAATTTATTGAAACTACTATTCTATTTCCAGGTACCCCATCAAGTTTTATAATGCGTTGTGTATCCTTGAAGGCTACGAACGCGCCGAATGCCTCATAAAACATTTGCAAAACTGACCTTTAAGGTTCTGTATGAAAATCATTTGTCTCCCTTTCATACAGCCTGTTTAACCAGTATAGTTAATAGTCCCATGTATAATTACATCAAAACTGACTTTCACTTCTGCCATGGTTCATAAAGGTGCAATTTTCCATATTCATTTCTGTCTCTGTATTAGGGTTTTATTTACCTGTACACCAGCACACATTTGAAGTTCCATCAAGACATTAAGGTTTAAACTGGGGTATATGATTAAACAAGTTGTACCAACTTAACACTGTTATCTTAATTGGTAATGTTGTGTGAGGTGTGTTGCAGTTGTCTTATAAGGTTAAAAGGAGGATACAAAGAAAACTTTTTACAAAGTGACACAAGGTTCAGCGCCACTTACCACCTCTGAATCACATGCAGGGTTTTAGAAATACCCAGGTCCAAAAACTGAGCTTGCTAGGAGGGTTTGAGAGCATGTGATCCCTGATCTACATAGGTACATTTTAAGATGTTTGAATGTTTGAACATTTGGATGACAAACCATATCAGAGGTATGTGTATATATATATATAAATACGGTTACCTCATTTTAATATATATTTAAAGAAAAGTATTTTAACTTCGACTTCACCGAAAGTTGATCTGACATTGGATAGCTGATTGTGATATTAGCTCGCTAGTTAATTCACTCTAGTGAAACTAACTAGCCGGCATCATGATGGACGGTCACTGTTTAACATAGCACAGACAACCACACAGGTGCCGTTGGTCACATGATGTCTGGGGATGAAAGACACTACAAACAGTACGTTAGTGAAATTCTCTATTTACCTGTATCTCACCTCGGCTGATTCACCTGTCCTTCCGGTTTGAACCGTCGTGTGGAACAAAGATTTGGAAGTATCGACAAGATCATTCACTCCACTCACACGACACAAGCAATGACGCGGGTGATCAGGTTGAAAAAGTCGGTGATATTGGCGTTGTACAATGTTTTTGAAGGACCGAAGTGGCAATAAGTGACAATTGTTTCACGACTTTTATTATACAGCTCAGAAAAATTACTGAGGTCTGGGCCTCGGTGACCTTAATGGAGGTTACGACCACGTTGACATCTAAACATATTGTTTGTTTAATCTGTATGTTTATGTGTTGCACTATTTCTTAGCTGTGACCACTAACTTCCTTAGAGTCTCTGCTGCTCAGAATCAATTTAATACATAACCTCCCTTAAAAACCGCTGTTACACTTGTGGTTTTGTACGGATTGAACCCCATGTTAATTGGTGAGCTTTAGAGCTGCTGGTATACGGATTTTGTTTTAACAGAGCCAGGCTAACTGTTTCCCACTGCTTCTAGTCTTTGTGCTAAGCTAATCAGCTTCCTCTAGCTTCACATTTCCCGTATAAAAAAAACAAACAGTCAAACTATTCCTTATCCACTTGTACATCATATTAGTGTGTATATTACTATATAGGAAGTATAGGAATAATTTGACATTTTGTATATAATATATTACTGCAGATAACTGGATAAATATAATTTTTTGTCATTTCTGATATGAAATTGTGCAGTAAAGGATCTGAGGTCATACATTGGTACTGGTTATCTGGCAGAAATGGCAGTGGGTTCCTATAGTCAACTTGATTGGAAAACTGTGACTTTGAAGGAGGGCCAAGTTGTTATGGCAGCTGGTTAGCCCCAGTTCGAGGGGCTAACCATGAACCGGCAACATGATGTTGTGGGACGTGCTGCTGGTCAAATGCTAACATCTTGGTGCTGGATACGACAGAGCACCTTGTAAAGACTGTTGGCTGATCCGTGAACTGCTCTGCTGAATAGGTGGTTGACTTTGCATCACTTTGTCCTAAAGAGTGTTTTAACTTTGGGTAATAGATGTTAAGAACCCACAATGACTCACTGTCCATCCACCTGCCTTTCTTTCCCTTCCAGTCTAGATCCCTGGATTGTATCCAGTATTGTTTGGTGAGCATGTAAGCTGACCAAAAGGTCAGAAGTTTCAGCTGGGGGTCAGATGTGTGCGTGCTCAATACAATAGCTGAAAAACATGACCACGTAACTGCCTATTTCTAAAATCCTGTTACATAATGACACACTGTGACATTTAATTTCCAAAGAGGAGATTTATTTTGGACACTGCATTCCACAGTACACCGTCTGGACAGAGGTCACCTATGATCAAACATTCTTAAAACATCAGGAACATTGAATGCACGTTATGAAAATGTTCACCACAGAAGGGCAGTTAACTCAACCGTTACATCATCATGAAACTGTTGCTTCTTGTCAAGAACATTTAGTTGGAACATAACTTCTTACATTTAGTGCACAACATTGACACACACTGATTAAAATCTCTACAACAGATATGCTTTTTAAAAACCTGCGCACAAAGCTGTTTGAGTTAAAATAAAAGTCAACGTACTGAATCCATTTGATTCAAATCAACGTGACTTTTCTTCCTTGAAAGAAAAAACTAATTATCAGTGTGTTGAAGATAAGGCAGGTAAGCATTTGATTATTTTTTCACAGCAGTTTTTTTTTTCTCGTGCCCGGCATCTGGATTAAGATTAACAACTCAAGTCTTTGTTATTTGATCAGCCCCGTCCTATAAAGAAATTTAAAAGAACGACCGCAGAAAGGTAATAATCCAAATAATTCCAAAGCAACTAGGCCACAACAAAATGTAAAGACAGAGACAAAGACACACACACACATGTAAACACAGACACATACTGTACATGCAGTCTTTGATCAAATGTGTTTTATCTGCGTTTGTGCAACTGGCTTGTGCTCCACTGGATCAATCCATATCAAAAAACTTACCACCTTGTCTTCTCTGTAATTTGGTGAATTTTGCTTTCTCTGCTGCGTGTCGCCCCCTTTTATCGAACACCGCCGTAAAGATATTCTCTGTACATTTACCAAAAATAAAACAAACAACGTTGTACAGTACAAACACCTCATCAGCCCGAACATCTGGGGCCTGTTAAACATCTGACAGCAAAATACATCTAGACTGTATGTACAAATGTACACTGGTGTAGAGTAGAATATATCAAGGACATTCCAGGTATATAACCGTTAGGCACTAAAAGGTGTTTCAGTGTAACTTGGACCACCTTTTTCCTCCAGACTGATCCAAAATAGACCCTGGCCTAAATCTGATCGACTACGTGTTGGGACTTGTGCCGAGCATCATCAAATTCACATTCCAAAACACTGTATATGCTTGATGTCTGTGTGTGTGTGTGTGTGTGTGTGTGTGTGGTGTGTGTGTTTTTTAAACAGTTGAGGTTACTGGATGTTTATGCTGTACACTTGAAGTCTAATTTTTTTTCTCAGAAAGCTCCTAAATTGATTCTGTCACTTACAGAATACCTTGTGTAAATTCAATGACTAGATACCAAAACAACCATCATGGTTCCACATATTGTGCAGCTCTCCATACACAGTAAAAGCAAGATATTCAAAACATGCATTTCCACCAAAATGAACCAGCAAAATATGAAAATATATCATATTCATTCTAAGATCTCAATATGCTTCAATATCTGTATCTAAAATAAAGGGAAATATCAATAATCAGCCTTTTTTTGTTTGGTTTACTCAAACTGGAAAAGTGTCAATTGAAGCTAAAACTAAATGATTCAAAATACTTTTTTTTTTTTCTTTTTTTTTTTTTAATAGTTTCAACTTTACAACAAGTAAACAGCAGAGTATGTTAAATGGCATTCAATAAGCTAATGTTGATTATGATAGGGTTAAAATTTAGAAGGAACATGCTGGTACTTTGATCCCTTACTGTTTCCTGGCTTCAGACTGCTTTAAGAATGAACCTTTCCTCGTGTTGTTCCAGTCTGAGAGAGGATGAGCAGACTCCCTGTAGTCTGAACACGCCACTGTCCCTGTTGTTAGAGGTGTTCTGGGACTCTGTGTTATAATACTGCAGACAGAACAGCTGATCCCAGATCAGGATGGTTTATATGTCCATGTCCACAGGTCGAACCTCGCCAGTTTTATTCTCCTTCACCCACAGCTCTCGGTCTTTGGCTGGATCCACGTTCTGCAGCAGCTGGTCGACCGGCTCCACCGTCTAGAAACACGTGAACAATAACAGAATCCCATCAAGCATCAGGATCAGTACAGTTCATTTATTATTATTACTTCAGCAGGTCAGACACAAACTGTGTCTCAATTCAGGGGCTGCATCCTTCGGAGGCATTATTTGAAGTATCACAATGGCGCGACAAGCTTGTGCTGTTTCTAAGGCTCCTTCAAATGCAGCAGAGAAATACATCCTTTGTTTCCCAGGCAATGGGTCGATCTTTCACGGCCCAACCCATCCCAAGATTCCTTACACACCAGTGCTGAATCATTCTTCAAAAAGAGAATAGGAGGACTCCATAAATAAAACAGAGGCCTAGGATAAATAGGAAATCCTCTGTAGACCAGACAGTCTTGGTTCGGCCTACACGGTCTATGTGGTGTTTGGAGGCCGTGCCTTCTTAGAGCACATCCTCCAAAGGAAGGGACCACTGAATTGCGACACGGCTACAGTCTACAGACAGGAAGCTAATGGGAGTTGTTGGTCCAACACTTTGATCCAAACCAAAGAGTTCTCAGCAATTACTTGGCATAAACTGGTATGAACATTCATGGTTTTTAAGGAATAGTTTAACATTTTTGGAAAAACATTTATTGATGAGAATATTGATACACATGATATAAATGCTCTAAATTTCCAGCCTTCCAAGAGGAAAATTCTGGGTGAAATGCTGAATCCTTTCAGTTTTGTCCATCTATAAAAGTTATTGCTACAGTAAAATATCCTTATTCAAATAAAATCTATGTACACTCTACTAGCAGATCATTGTTGATCTGTGTGTGTATCTTCTATGAGGAATTCCACTTGTCAGCCAGCGCACAGAAAAGCATCTTTTTTATGGTACATTCCAACAGTGCTGACACAATATGTCTCATTAGATTTACAGGGCTTACTCTACACCTCCTAAATAAGCAGAGTGTCTGCGTGGGTTTTGCTCTGAGGCACCGAGTGATGACAGTGACTGTGTTGGATGAAAAGTCTGACAGAGGAACACCAATGGCTCACTCTGTCACAGTATCTACGCTCACCGGCAGGCTCGGCTGAAGTGGCGAGCAAGCCACGTCAAATCCAGTTAATAATAATGATAATAATGATAAATAATAATGTAAATGTTATAATGGTTTGTGTTGTTTGCTGATCAACTGATCGATTACAAAAAAAGAGGTGGGTAAACTGTTGTCCAATTGGGAATTAGAGAAATGCAAATAGCCTCCAATCTAAGCAAAATCAACTATATTTTAAGGGCTGTTTTCAGTGTGACAACCACTGCTGAAGATCTAGCTGCTGACTGTGTTGGTAAGAGGCCAAATCAGCTGTATCAGGGCACCAGCATGCACCAGTCCCTTTAACCACACACAGTATCTTCATCTCATGTCTCTCCCTCTGGAGAAAGCATTAAATACTTATTTAATATTGTTGGATACTCATGTTTAGCCTTCCTTTAAAGTGGACAAAGTAATAGAAACACCTGGACAGCACAGCGAGAGTCCTCATGTAGCAGTAGTTTTGTGTTGGCATATTGGTTCCAAATATCCTTGATTAGAAATGGGTATCGACCCTCAAAAAACAATCAAAAAAACTAACCCCTAATTCTTATTCCTTACTATGCTGCAGAAAACACACCAGTTTGTGTATTATACTGTATGTGTGTGTGATGGTGAATGAAGCACCATTTATCTTTCTCCAGTTCTTGCTGGACTAACTGTGGTGACTGCAAATTCATTTAAGCAACTACACCTACAGATTCTGTATTACACAGTCCTCACCACTGAGAACTAAAACTCTCTTTACCTGCTCTGCTGCACAAATCTGGGACAAACATTAAAAAGATTCCAGATTTAGTTTGACAATGACTATTTTTAAAAAAGTGATCTGCTCACAGTTGCACTGTAAATTATTCTGTATTTCTTCTTTTCTACTTTGTGGCTCAATGTTTTTCTGTACTATACAAATAAAGATTCCTTCTTGTCCAATAAACTGGCCTCACCATCGGCTTGTACTGATGACATGACTGTTATGAGGCTGACAACACCTTATATGAGTAAAAGTAAATTATTATTTAAGGAAGCTATGGGTATGATCTCATATTTGTTAGATTAGTTTGACTTTACTTTCTGTAATGTATAGGCTACTGTGAATTTAGGTTGTATTCATGTCAGCCTGAGGCGTAGTGTATGCACAGAGGAAAAAAATAATAATTTCATATCAGTTTTGTTTTGAGCTTTCCGAATTTGCACAGGTTAAAAAAAGACACGAGTAACCATGAATATTGATGTGCATGGAAAGGAATGAAAGCATGATTGTACAATTTAAGATTAGAGTATTTCTGTTCAGCATTGACAAAGTAAATGTTCAGTAAAATGCAGGAAAACAAATACAAACTCACACTCTGATTGAACATGTCTGTTTCATGGCGCAGAGTCGTGTACTGGCGTAAATGCTGCTGAATCCACTCGATTCGGTCGACCTCCAGTTTCTCCAGCTCCTGAAGTGGAAGGAAGACAGATGGTCAGTGCTAGACACAGCCAGTTCATCCTAGCGATGAGCTGTACTTCCTCATGTTTGAGTCTCAGACAGAAGTAAGATGGCCTTTTCTATAGAGACTGAAACATTTCATCATTATTTTCAAAAGCAAATCTGATAAAATTAGGCAAAATCATTAGATATTAACCTGAAAAAAACAATGTGAAGTGTGGTTTTTTTAGGATGCTTAAGAGGACTACAAACAGAACTGTCTGTCTAATCTGGACTACAAAGAGGAGGTTTTACCATGCTGGTGGTGACCATCTCTTCAAACCATTTCGACTGGGTTTGGTTGTACAGATCCACGCAGCGCATCAGGTCGTCTCCTGGAGAATACAGACAAGTACATGAAAGGTCAGGGGTCAGCAGCGGTCTGCTGTCAGTCCACCAGAGACACATCAATCAGCACTTACATGGAGTTAATTCTTTTCCCAAATTTTTCTAATCATCTTTTTCAGCTCTGCATGTCTGGTAGTAGTATACTGTGTAATATGATCTGTGTACGTATGGAGTAAAACCCTTAAGGACCAGCAGAGGGCGCTCAGAAATCACTCATCAATGAGTTTACTCCTTCACAGAAGAATCATGGTTTAATGTGGACAAGAAGTGTTACCATGACTTTGTTTTAGAGCGAAGTAAGGGTAGGATATAAGCTCTACATAAACATTTAATAAATGATATATAACACACTATAATGTAGGTGTAATAAGATATAAAAACCTTTTAAGTGTTTATTAATGTATAGGATTTGTCAACAATTAAAACGTATTCTATGATATCATAGCTGTTTTACAATATTAGTTGTGCATTATGTGTTTCCACACATTGGTACTCACAGGAGAACTTATACATTATCATGTTATAAATCAGCTCTTTAAATTAAATTAAATCAAATCTTCTGTGATAGTTATTCATTTTGACTGTGTGTCTCTGGAAGCTTAATCTCCATCTTGCTCATGATGCTGCACATTTCTGGGACAAACATGAAGAGGATCTCAGATTTGCTTTGACAGCTACTATTTTTAAATCATCTCTAAAATCCTCAACTGCTCACTTTACTTATTTATTTATTTATCTATTTATTTTAGAAATCTGCACTGTAAATTATTCAGCACTTGTGTTTGCTCCATTGCTCCATCACAGATCAATCATGGTTTAATGCAGATGTTTGTAGCTTTTACCATGACTTTGTTTCAGCTGTTCAAGCTGTTTCTTTATTAACAAAAGATTATTGATGATCATGACTGGCAGTGCTGGTGTCCACAGGCTCTACATTCAGACAACATATAAACTGATACAGACCCCAAATTAGAAACATTAGATATTGATTGTCATTATTTATTTCAGATCATAATATTTTACTTTTAGTTTGTTACTTCTCGTTACTTTTCAGATTAAGATTTTTGCATTAACAGATAATATGGTAAGTTTATAAAACATGTAACACACTAAACCAGCAGCTCTCAATCTTTTTGTAAAAGCAGGATACAGCTGCCCTCCTTGTCATGTCATGTCTGTGAGTCATCAGCAGTGCCAACAACAAATGATTTCAGGTAAATAAAGCCTTTTCTGTTGCATTTGGGACAAATCACAGCTGATAACTGCTCTGTAACTGCACTGTATTTCAGGTTTACTCCTCTCTTTGTCTATCTGTATTTCATTTTCATTTCATGTATTTTATTTCATTTCTAAATACATACATATTGTCTTATTGGCTTCATTCTGGTTTTCATGCTTATAGGTTTTTAATGTTATTCTAATGCTTTTCTTTGCCTGAGCAAAGCACTGTGAGCTGCCTGTGTTTCAAGTTTGAAATGTGCTATATAAGTAAGACTGTGTTGCCATGGTTGGTAACCACTGGACTAAACTAACTGTATATAAAGTAGCTAAAATTGGCTCCACCTCAAGCAGCTACAATAGTACAATGCTACTTACACACTGATACAGCAGTGTTAACAGTCAAATAATGTAATATTTAATAATACATCAGTTATATATATACACACACACACTAAATCACTAAAATCACAACGGCTCATTAAAATTCATTCAGTGAAGGTAAAAACACTTTCCTGCCTCTGGCAGCAAGTGCAGTGAGCCATAATGACATTTGGCTCAACCCTGAGGTAACAGTGGTGATCACCAACACATGGCTGACATCATTTGACTGTGGCTTACGAGTGATATTGATTAGTGCTGTGGACGGTGACTAATCTACTGAGTGGAAGAGAGGAAGAACCAGGTAAGTTCCCAGAGAGCTTTTACTCTACCGAAGTGGGAGACAACAATCGCAACACAAGCTCATCTTCTTCCTAAGTAAAATGTCAAACACAGTATCTCAGGTGGGATTTCTCTCTTTTGCTGTGCTCATCTTTTTGGTTTCTTCACTTTAGACTGGTGAAAAATTGAAAAACCAAATTCAAAGTCCATATTTTGATACACATGCAACTTCCAGTATGTGGACGTAAAGTCATTTAAATAAAGGCCTTCTGAAGCACACTAATTAACACTATATATATTATGTGTGTTTAATCTGTACAAAAACAAGTGTAAAAATGACAATTAGCTATTTCTTGGCTGAAAGCAGCTGTCAGGAAACCAGAGAAGTTACATCTCATGGCATTAGAAACAGTCCAGCACCAACCCACTGTAAAACAACAAATTGTTGTTTTTATGCACCGGTTTTTGTACGTTTTGTATCAAGGTACAAAGTTAGAGTCAGGATGCGGTTCGCCTAGCTTAGCCTGGATTGGAGGTAGGGGAAACAGCTGGGCAGATGGATAAACCTTTGTTACAAAGAAATAGTTCCGTCACCGACTCCAACCTAAAACCAAACACTGGTGTTTTTTACACTTTTTTTACACTTCAGGCTAATGTAAATTATGTCAAAATAAAGCAGACTGAAGTTGACTTAACTTGCTTTTTTCTGTGATTGACCTTCTTTATCTTTACAACACTGATAACAAATGTTAACATGTTTCCTTGTGCTTTTAAAACCTTCATTTTCAGCACTGTAGTTTTTCTCCTGCTGGTTTGGGTCACTGCAACTTCTCTCTCTTCCATGTGTCTCAATGCAGTTATTTGGTGACATCTGAATAACTTCACTGTTGTCACTGCGTCTTATCTAAGCTCGGACTCTGTGACCTCTGACCTGCTTGTGTGGATTTCCGTCGGGCCTTCTTTATGTCCTCCTCCGTCTTGTTGCTGAGTTTGATCTCCAGCTGCTGGGTCTTCACCTCCAGATCCTTCTGCCTGTCTGCCAGGGCTTTACGGGCCTACACACACACACACACACACACACACACACACACACACACACACACACACACACACACACACATAGACATCAAGCAGGATGTGTGAACGTAGAAACAACGAGTCATTCAGCATAATCCTCAGATGTACTGTACGAACATCTATTACAAGAGTCATTACAGCCTTTTCATGTTGGCTACTGATATCCACGCTCAGATCCTGGTCTCATCCTTTAACCTTTTCTTAATCCACAGTCATTGAGTCTTTCCTCTCATTCTCTATAGAGGCACCTCACCAAGGTCATGGTGTAATGGTGTTTGAAAGGTAAACATGCAGTAACAGTGATGAGCAAGCCAAGAAAATCTGTTTTTCAACAGCCAACAGCGAAAAGAAATCATGTGGGCTGGAGTGATCCTGAACCCACTGCTGTCAGGAAACCAGTGGAACCAGGAAACAATCCAGTGCAGAATTCAGTAAACTCTGAATGAAACATTGCATTGGCAGACAATAAAACTTTAAAGCTGAAGTCTGACTTTAGTTAAGATGCCCTTACACCTCAAATAGAATCTATGAGATTTATTGAAAACATACAACAACAAGTTCTTTAGTTATATGGATGATTATTTCTCATTCCAAATCCTGCACTGTTTGATTTAATTATTGATTTTTATCATTTTGACAATATATATTTAATTATTTTTTCTAATGTGCTGTATAGTTGTCCTAATATCAAAGATCCCATACTGTAGAAAGTGAAATGTCTATGTGTTGTTTGATTATAAAGCAGGTCTAGGTTCTATATTAATACTGTGAAAGTATCAAAGCCTCAGTCCACAGAGAAATGCAAAAACAGCCTGTATTCGGAAACTGAGCCTTAAAATGAACCGTCAGGACTTCTGTAACTTTGTGATGTCACAACAAAGCAGTCACCGCCCTCAGCCATGCCTCAAGCCCCATCCACCTGAACCCACCATCCAACCTTGCAGGATTTGGTGTCTATGAGTGTTTACCTGAAATCTGCTATATTTTTGTTTGATCTCTCATGAAACAAATCAGACAGGATTTATCATAATACTTGGCTTGTATTAGTTTACTTCTTGTCGTGCAGACACAGCGTTCACATATTGCTGACACCCACTGCAACGTTCATGCTGTGTGTGTTTATACAGAGGAAACAAACTCATTCATTAAAAGATTGAACAGGTTGGAAGCAAAAATAAAGTACTGTATAAAGATGTACCAAGTAAAAGCGTCACTGAAGCTCTTATGTAATCTCTGTGATGTAAACACTGATGTGTATTTGTGTTTATTTGGAAACACTGGCCAGGGAGTAGTGCAGGGAAACAGTATTCCACCAAACTGGCTGATATTAAAATAAAGAAAACCCTTGAACATGTAAAATCTCTCAGTACCTTCTCCACACCTGCGTAGCGACTCGCCAGCTGCTTCCTGAGGTCGGCGATGTGATGGTCGTACTTTTTCAGGTCCTTCTTGAAGTTGTCACCTCTGAACGTCAGCAAAGGTTTCTCTACCTCAGAGTGGAGCTGTGAAAACAAGCCACTCAGCTGTCAGTGCTGCTGCTGTAGTGTAGCAACAGAGCTTGATGTAACATATGAAAAGCGGCAGTTTTTTTTTAAACCACAGTAAAGTTCAGCTTTTTGTGACTTATTGTGTAATAACGCCTGTTTCCTGTTCTACAGTTGGATCCATCACCATAAGGGGAGAGTCTCAGATTCTGTTTCTCTCACCAAACATAGACTGACGCTAAAAACTTCTACTTAGTCAAGGACAATTAGTTAGTCTTTCTAGGAAACACAGATGGATACTGACATCTCTTTATTAACTATTTTTCACTTACCTTCCTTATCATTTCCTAGTTTTTACTTAGATAATGTGGGAATTAACACTTTCTCTATTTTCTGTATGATTGGTACAAAACTCTGTAGCCCTTTCTTGGAAATATCCTTGTAATTTACAACTAAATACTTAAATATATTTAGGAAAATATGAGGAAAGTTTCAAGGAAATTAGATGGAAAAGATGAGACTTGCAAAATAAAACATTTCCAGTGTCTGTCAGGGTTTGTTGTATTTCCATGCAGAATGCTATTCTAGTGACAATGCCAAAGCTATAGATGAAATGTAGCTTATTAGGGACTCAGAGAAGAAAATGAGCACAGTAAGACTTCTCCTTCCCGGACTGACCACGCATTACTTTCTCCTCACCCACTCTCATAATCAGGCACAGAGTGTCCGAGTGCTGGTGGAGCAGGGAAGAGCCTGCATGGCCCTGGGTGGGGGCTCCTCAGAACACGTAGCTAATTAATTAGACAACAGAGGGCGATGAGAAGCTCCGAGGCTGCCTCTGCGTTATTTAAGGCTGCGTCTGAGGCCAGTGAGCGGTTTCTGCATCGCTGCTAATCGGAGTGCGGACGGGTCATTTTCTTCGGTCAGCACCAACAAGGTTGAGGTAAACAAGCCCCCGTCACCCCAGGACATGGTCAGATCGAGTATCCATTACTGCAGTTGATTGAAATATTAAACACTTGACCTGAGGACTCCTCAACATGCAGCTTAGAGAAAGTGATAAACATCCTCATGTACCAGTATACATTATTATTATTATTATTATTATTCCAGTGATTTATGTATTCGGTGTACTTTTATGTGCTTTTTATGTCTGTGCTCCTACTTTGCATCTTTCAGTTAGCTCAATTCAGTTCAATTAACTGTTGTGTTTGTTGTATTATGTACTTGAGTGTTGCATGTTTTACAAAGCAGAGCAGTGTCCTGTATGATGTTTCTGTCTAACATTGATATTCTCTTCTCTTTTTATTATTGCTCTGCATGTTTATCAATGAACTCAATAAATGATATTCTTATATTGTATATATATATATATAATGCATTCTTATACTCATATTATCAGGCTCTGATTTTTAGGGTGACTTTTACAGACATGCTTATCAATGTGCACTGTTCCTGTTAAATAAGCCAATAAATAAATAAATTAATAAATAAATTAACCTAAGCTACTAGTTACTTTTTATACCTGAAATCTTTAAGAGGCTGGAATCAGGAAACGTTGGGAAAAAAGGAAAAGTATTTTTTCTGTCAATCAACTAATCCACCAGTTCTCTAATCGTTTTCAGTTCCAGGTGAGATTTCACAATAAAATTCCTCATTAGACGTTACCTTGTTGGAGAACTTCAGGTGAACCTCAGCCTCGTCATGGAGACTCTTCTTCAGCTGAGTCCAGGCTTCTCCGAGAGTCCTGAGAAAAGATTGAGGTGAATGGATGAAACATTCAGAGAAACACTGAGCACGTGGAGGAGGGTCCGACTGTGGTCCTCATGTATGAGGACCCCAGATCTGTGAGCCAATGGGAAGAGACTAAGTTTCCCATCACTTCTTCAGGGTTCGGCAAATTCAAGGACTTTTCTAGGTCTTTTGAGGCGCAGGTCCCTAAAATTGAAGGACTCAACAAGGCGTAGGTTGACACAGATCAATGTAAATTACTGTTAAACTAAGAATTTATATAATGAGAACTAGCAGCATTACACAAGCTCACAGACAATAATTAGAAAGAGAGAGAGGCCTGAATATGTGAACACCCCTCAACTGTGCTGTGTTACAGTGATGCAGACTCTGTGGTCTCCTGCACACATGCAGACAGCAGCATGCAGCCTAACAAAAGATACATATCAGAAAAACTTTTGCACAGAAATATATAGATTCTAGTGCTTTCAATTATCTGTCGATTTATGTCTATTTTCAAGGCCTTGATGATTTCTTTTTTCTCAAATTCACAATCTTTCAAGGATATCAAGGACCTGTGGGAACCCTGCAAACAGGCTACTACTTTTACATTTTAACATGAGCAAAACAAAGTTACATTAAACATTAGTTAGCTAATGTTATTGCTGGTGATTTTGTGTTAGTCAGTGTACCAGTGTAACACTGTACCGTTACATTTTTTTTATCCTGAGTGGAAACTAGTTCAAAAATACTGGATGATAGGTTTCTCTATGTCTTTATTGTAAAGGTTTAAAAGGCAGTGGGGCTGATTTTCACTATACGATTATCGTAACCAGAAGAATTCATGGTAACAATATTATTGCAACATCTATGGAACATTTTAAATTTGCTTTTTGTCTCTTTTTTTCAAATGAAAGTGTAGGAAGGTGGAGAGAGTGTGTGTAAAAAAGAACAACTACACTTAATGGAGAGTGAAAAGGCAAAAACATGAACTGATAAACAAAAGATCCACAAGGTCTAACATCTGCCATCACTGTATTATCAAATGTGTAGTATTAACACATTATCAATATTTCATATTTTTAAATATCATTGTTATTGTTTAATACTGGTATATCACAACACCCCTAGAAGACAGTGTGAGTTTAGGCACAAAAACTCACTGACATCAGTTTTATTCCCCAGAACATATCATATTAGATTCTGTTTCACATGGATCTGTAGGGATAACATACATTTCTCTCACACCTCATGAGAGGGAATAGTTGGCTCGTTTTTTTTACCCAGAAAAAACATCACATTAATACAACTTACAGACTTGGGTGATGTGGGTAACATCACTCTGAATAGTAGATTTCTTTCAACGAATTCCTGCAAACAAACACTCTTATTATCTGGTCCCAAGTCTGCGTCTTTGTTAGTTTCAGTTTTATGGCTGAAGCTATAATCATGGAATTTCCAGACCTGGAAAGGAACCAGAATCTACTGATCTGTTCTTTTGAGCCAAGCTTCTGTTCTCTCTGCTGAATTTGAGATCTTCTCAGAGATTTCTGTTATTTCTCTGACAAACCAACATGAAAAAACATCCCGTCTTTCATGAAGTATCTGTCTTTGAATGGTGCATCAGACACAAAAAGCAGCGTGGGAATAAGCCTATTTTAAACACTCCTATCTTTAGACGCAGTTCTGTTAATTACTGACACTATCTCCTGCTTTGCAGAGGGAGCTTTGGAGCCGCACACACTGTTTCGTCTTACAGCGAATGTTTACTGCACTCACCCTTCCTCCTGTGCTGCCAGGGGGCTCAGAGACAGCTTGGAGAGGTTCTTGGCATATTCCTCCTCAATCTTTATCCTGAAACACAAACACAGAGATGGGAAAGCTTCCTGGCAAAAAGAGAGGACAAAACTGCTTTAGTGAAGTGGAGGAAAAAAAGCTTAAACACAGATCTTTTCAACGGGGCACTGCAGCAGAATGAAGGAAAACTTCTGCTACAGTTTGCTGCAAAGACTAATGGCACACACAGCCCTGACTCCTGCACATCAAAAATGCCATTGTACTCCAGCTGTATTTTACAGAGTGACTGATTCAGACTCCTGCCTCCATTTTAGGGATGAAAATGAGATGTGCTCACATTTGCCCTGAGGGACATTCAACGAGTGGCGGCCATGTTTGTGCCCTTTGTGACATTCACCTCCTCCGCCGATATCACGTTTACCATCCACACCTGAGTAAATCTGTCACCTGAAGAAGGTCACAAGGCTCGTTCTCTGACTTAATGTTCGGATACAGAGCAGCCCAGCGAAACAACGCAGGAAAAGTCGGCACTTGAGAGAAATCTTCCTGAAGGATTTGGGAGACGGTGGCCTCTTGAATCAGGAGGAACTTCACTCATTAACTTCCCACGACTCAGACCAGGACATGAATAGAGCTTTTGTAGAATTAGGTGGAGCTAATTACATAGAGACCTAGTTATCTATGTTGCTTTTGTCAATGTGGTTCAGACTCAGTCAGTTTCCTGTATGTTCAGTTGCTGAGTTGAGATCTGTAGCTCCTTTAATTACTGGGTTCAGGCATAAATTGCAACCCTCAGCTGTGAGACACAAGTTTAAGACGAGCATCCTACAGATCCTTTATAAAATGGAGTTTTCTCTGTTGATTGTTGTGGACCTGCCCAGGCTGTTAAAGATCTTCTCTGGGCTCTGGCTCATGTTGTGGGGGACAGTGGCTCCAGTGCTTTTGCTCCTGTGCTCTGGAATCATCTCCCTGCCTCAATCCACTATCTGTTTTTAAATCTAGACTTGGGGCACCTCTTTTTTAGTCAAGCTTTTTCATTAACATAAATTATCAGCATTTAAAGTAAGAATTTAAATTGTGCCAACAGATGAACCTCGTCTCTTATTTTAGCGTGATTGAGTAGCTACTGATAACTTCAAATTTTAATCTGTGCTTCATTACAAAGAGAGAAAGTTCTGTTGACTTGTGTTTTTCAGTTGGGGAATGCAGGAAAATCAATTTGCATCTGACCTGTTAAATCTTGCCAAAACTCATATTAAATAAACCTTTATTTTATTATTAATTCAGTGTAATTGATAAATTGGTCCTTTTCAAGTTTGAACTGTTTAATTAATCACTTTCAGAACTTAAAATCATAAGCGCAGTTTACAAAATGTGCAATGGATTGTTTATTTAACTCATCAAATCAAGTTATTTAGAAATGCCTTTAGCTTATTGACTTATACTTCCCACCATGCATTGTATTAAGAATAAAATACTTAATTTTTCTGATATAAAATACCTACAAGATGGAGGATGTTATGTGTCTGTTTATACATGTTTATACATACACAGTGTCCCTGTTTCTTTCAGAGTACTACAGCTGGTATATCTGGGCTTCTCAAAACCTGGATAAGAACTTATCCAGGTTTCTAATATGATGTTTTCATGTGCAAACACAAAAAGGGAATACTTCAAACCCTGATCAAAACCAGGATACTTATGTCCATGTGAACACACTCAATGTGTTAGTTCCTCTCTTAACACTCTCTGACTTCTCACCCCTGTGGCTTTCAGACCAAATCTTTAAAACCCAGTCACAAATATACAGGTTCATTTAAAAAAAAAAAAAAAAAAAGTTAAATGATTTCCTAAAACAGCTGGGTGCAGTAGCTTTTAACAATTGTCACTCAAACATGAGGAAATAGAGCATTTGTTAGGGACTATTTTCAGTAGGGGATTAATCCACATTTGATGCTCTAGTGAGTATTTGTGGTAGCAGGATGGTGTGTGTGATTGAGTCAAAATAAACAACAGTGTGTGTTAATGGTGATGAAGGAACATGTCACCCAGTGACACAGTGTGGCTCACTGATGTGTTTTAATAATTTTTGGAAACAATGGAGCTCCATGGCGGAAAAACATGATTTATCAGACTTTAGATACACACACACAATACTTGGTGGTGAGATCAATTCATTGATGGTTTTGGTCTTTCAATGGGTTTTGCTGACAGTGATAAAAATATCACCAGTCTCATTTTTTAAATGTGCCACTGACAAGCTCACACATTTTGTTTTCTGAGCCAGTTTCATGTAACTAACTTCTATTTTAAACAACAAGTGGCTCCTTCAATGGGAATATTTCTGCCTCCAGAGCAGCTCTGCTTCTGACACTCTTGTTAATTAATTTATAAACCTTGCTGTGAGGAAGCAACACAGTCCTTTTTGTTGTTATAATCCAGTCTTATCTGACATTAAAGCTGTTACCTCTCGTGGATAAACTCAGCCATCTCTTTCTGCATCTGTTTGCCCTTCAGCTGCTTCTGCAGAAGAACCTCGAAGCCCGCCACTGAGGTGGTCCCCTGGGGGTCTTTCTTGTCGGTCTGAAGAACAGGAGGGCATCATTCAAAGACAGCAGTGGACAAATAAACAACCACAGCTACAAGTTCATGGACAGAGTGTCCTGTAACATCTCTGTGTTGTTTACATTTGAGAGCATGTAGGTTTATGAGAATGGGCTTTGGGTGGTGAGTCAGAAACTATGAGCATGAATGTGTGACTCACACTCGCATGTCAAGGAGGGCATGCGTTGGTGTGTGTGTGTGTGCGTCAATCACTGATGGGTGAATGTGTATTAGGTGTGTGTTCTTGAGCACGAAAATGTCAAACAAGATTCAGCAATGTGCAGCACTCTGTCTTGTTTGTGACAGGAGTGATGTGTGTCGCCACGTGGAACAGAGGTGCCAGATTTATTTCACACAGCAGGTTTGAGCAGCAGCTCAGTCGACGCACAAGACATCACGAGCAACACGACACGACAGGCTGCAAACAAGGAGAAAAACAGCAATAAAGGAGGAGGAAACAGGCATCGGATTTCAGTCAATAACGCAGGATGAAGGGTGTTCGATTCGAATCTAATTTAGGGTGGAAATGTATGGAAACTGAAAATTACAGGAGCCACTGGGGAAACATTAGAAGCAGGAAGATCATTGTGTTTGCAGAGAAGCCGGTCGATTGGTTTTCCACCTGTAATCCTCCAACATGAAAGCCAATAGCATCTTTTGTTAAATGAGAAGAAGAGTATTGGATCCATTTGCAACCAACAAGAACATATCTGCTGTTTCACTCATGTTTTAGTCGCATAATTTATTTTAAACAGAATTTAAGTCTCATTTAGCTTCCAACTGCAGCATACATTTACCATCATAGAAATGTTCTAAAGGTCAATAAAACCTGTTGATGGGAATCTTCTGTGTTTTGTTCGCGGTTTGCCGAAACAAACAAATACATACTTTACATACATACTCTATGATAACAGCAACACATTTGAAAAAGTTACCTTGTGATATAGGGAAGAAAAAAAGAAAAGAAGGAAAAAAAAAAACTTGCACTATGCTAACTCTAACTCTAATACTGGATTTAGACTGGACAACTGTATCAGTATTTGAGTACAGCTGCTTAGTCTATCAATTGATTTGTTTTTTGGGAAAAAATGATTCCTATGGTTCTTCAAATGTGACAGCTCACTGGTTTTCTTGGTCTTACAGTCAACTTTTGCTCTAGGCGATTAACTGGTCTGATCTAATCAATTATGAAAATAAACAATAGCTGCAGCTTAATATCTAAAAGTTTTAAACATCTGATAATGTTTGATATTTACTTTTACTTTATCAGAATCTCTGTTAACTGTTTGTAGTCATATCTACTCTTTTTATCCATAGTAATAAAAAACTAGACAATAGAACTAAATTTTAAGTTTTTAAATATCACGATAGAGAAACATATATTTCTGTAGTCTTTTAAATGTTTTCAGATCAGATGAAGGAGAAGTTGAGAAAAAATCCTGCTTTTTTTAGGAGATAAAAGTGTGAGATGAGGCTGATTTCTAAGATTTCAAACAGAAGACATTCTGAGTTAACGTGGATTTTCAAGGATAGTAACAACACCAATGTGTAACTGGGACCTCTGAAGTATGAGAACCTCATTCAAATCTCATTTTTGTAACTACGCTAAAAACTAAAAATCCAGTCTTGGAACGGGGCCTCTCTCAGCAATATGTCACATGGCTCAGTTCATCTGTTTAGATAAAGGATGGTAATGTTTATTTATTTATTTAATAAAACTAATGTTGTTATTTCAGTGTTTTTTGTGTTGGCAGCATTTAACAAATACCATTTCCCATGGACAGTTGCAGGCTAATGCTGCGTTCATGTCATTTGAAACGGTTGGTAAAGAAGAGAAAGCTTCTCGTGGTAACAACTTGCAAGCGCTCACATCGTTTGACAGCTGACGACTGTTGCGATGACAGAGGTGACTGTGTGCGGGTTAAAAATACTTTGCATTGATAGTATAACACCATATCCCTTCAATGGACTTTGGTTGATTTGAGGCATCGAGTTTCCCAGTTGAAACAACCTCTTGGATGTTGGATGTATGGTACATAGTGTTAGTGTTAGGTCTCAGGTCTCTGCATAACTGTGGCACTTATCATCATCAAAATANAAAAAAAAAAAAAAAAAAAGTTAAATGATTTCCTAAAACAGCTGGGTGCAGTAGCTTTTAACAATTGTCCCTCAAACATGAGGAAATAGAGCATTTGTTAGGGACTATTTTCAGTAGGGGATTAATCCACATTTGATGCTCTAGTGAGTATTTGTGGTAGCAGGATGATGTGTGTGATTGAGTCAAAATAAACAACAGTGTGTGTTAATGGTGATGAAGGAACATGTCACCCAGTGACACAGTGTGGCTCACTGATGTGTTTTAATAATTTTTGGAAACAATGGAGCTCCATGGCGGAAAAACATGATTTATCAGACTTTAGATACACACACACAATACTTGGTGGTGAGATCAATTCATTGATGGTTTTGGTCTTTCAATGGGTTTTGCTGACAGTGATAAAAATATCACCAGTCTCATTTTTTAAATGTGCCACTGACAAGCTCACACATTTTGTTTTCTGAGCCAGTTTCATGTAACTAACTTCTATTTTAAACAACAAGTGGCTCCTTCAATGGGAATATTTCTGCCTCCAGAGCAGCTCTGCTTCTGACACTCTTGTTAATTAATTTATAAACCTTGCTGTGAGGAAGCAACACAGTCCTTTTTGTTGTTATAATCCAGTCTTATCTGACATTAAAGCTGTTACCTCTCGTGGATAAACTCAGCCATCTCTTTCTGCATCTGTTTGCCCTTCAGCTGCTTCTGCAGAAGAACCTCGAAGCCCGCCACTGAGGTGGTCCCCTGGGGGTCTTTCTTGTCGGTCTGAAGAACAGGAGGGCATCATTCAAAGACAGCAGTGGACAAATAAACAACCACAGCTACAAGTTCATGGACAGAGTGTCCTGTAACATCTCTGTGTTGTTTACATTTGAGAGCATGTAGGTTTATGAGAATGGGCTTTGGGTGGTGAGTCAGAAACTATGAGCATGAATGTGTGACTCACACTCGCATGTCAAGGAGGGCATGCGTTGGTGTGTGTGTGTGTGCGTCAATCACTGATGGGTGAATGTGTATTAGGTGTGTGTTCTTGAGCACGAAAATGTCAAACAAGATTCAGCAATGTGCAGCACTCTGTCTTGTTTGTGACAGGAGTGATGTGTGTCGCCACGTGGAACAGAGGTGCCAGATTTATTTCACACAGCAGGTTTGAGCAGCAGCTCAGTCGACGCACAAGACATCACGAGCAACACGACACGACAGGCTGCAAACAAGGAGAAAAACAGCAATAAAGGAGGAGGAAACAGGCATCGGATTTCAGTCAATAACGCAGGATGAAGGGTGTTCGATTCGAATCTAATTTAGGGTGGAAATGTATGGAAACTGAAAATTACAGGAGCCACTGGGGAAACATTAGAAGCAGGAAGATCATTGTGTTTGCAGAGAAGCCGGTCGATTGGTTTTCCACCTGTAATCCTCCAACATGAAAGCCAATAGCATCTTTTGTTAAATGAGAAGAAGAGTATTGGATCCATTTGCAACCAACAAGAACATATCTGCTGTTTCACTCATGTTTTAGTCGCATAATTTATTTTAAACAGAATTTAAGTCTCATTTAGCTTCCAACTGCAGCATACATTTACCATCATAGAAATGTTCTAAAGGTCAATAAAACCTGTTGATGGGAATCTTCTGTGTTTTGTTCGCGGTTTGCCGAAACAAACAAATACATACTTTACATACATACTCTATGATAACAGCAACACATTTGAAAAAGTTACCTTGTGATATAGGGAAGAAAAAAAGAAAAGAAGGAAAAAAAAAAACTTGCACTATGCTAACTCTAACTCTAATACTGGATTTAGACTGGACAACTGTATCAGTATTTGAGTACAGCTGCTTAGTCTATCAATTGATTTGTTTTTTGGGAAAAAATGATTCCTATGGTTCTTCAAATGTGACAGCTCACTGGTTTTCTTGGTCTTACAGTCAACTTTTGCTCTAGGCGATTAACTGGTCTGATCTAATCAATTATGAAAATAAACAATAGCTGCAGCTTAATATCTAAAAGTTTTAAACATCTGATAATGTTTGATATTTACTTTTACTTTATCAGAATCTCTGTTAACTGTTTGTAGTCATATCTACTCTTTTTATCCATAGTAATAAAAAACTAGACAATAGAACTAAATTTTAAGTTTTTAAATATCACGATAGAGAAACATATATTTCTGTAGTCTTTTAAATGTTTTCAGATCAGATGAAGGAGAAGTTGAGAAAAAATCCTGCTTTTTTTAGGAGATAAAAGTGTGAGATGAGGCTGATTTCTAAGATTTCAAACAGAAGACATTCTGAGTTAACGTGGATTTTCAAGGATAGTAACAACACCAATGTGTAACTGGGACCTCTGAAGTATGAGAACCTCATTCAAATCTCATTTTTGTAACTACGCTAAAAACTAAAAATCCAGTCTTGGAACGGGGCCTCTCTCAGCAATATGTCACATGGCTCAGTTCATCTGTTTAGATAAAGGATGGTAATGTTTATTTATTTATTTAATAAAACTAATGTTGTTATTTCAGTGTTTTTTGTGTTGGCAGCATTTAACAAATACCATTTCCCATGGACAGTTGCAGGCTAATGCTGCGTTCATGTCATTTGAAACGGTTGGTAAAGAAGAGAAAGCTTCTCGTGGTAACAACTTGCAAGCGCTCACATCGTTTGACAGCTGACGACTGTTGCGATGACAGAGGTGACTGTGTGCGGGTTAAAAATACTTTGCATTGATAGTATAACACCATATCCCTTCAATGGACTTTGGTTGATTTGAGGCATCGAGTTTCCCAGTTGAAACAACCTCTTGGATGTTGGATGTATGGTACATAGTGTTAGTGTTAGGTCTCAGGTCTCTGCATAACTGTGGCACTTATCATCATCAAAATATCACCTGGGACAGTTCTGTTGCAGTTGCTGTGTTTCAGCAAAACTCACCCAGAAGTAATCGCAGTAGCTCCATTCGTTGGGTTTGAGGAGCTGCTGCTCCGGACCTTCTCCAGGCAGAGGGAAAGTTACACAGTTGATCTGAAGTGCAGAGAGAAGAAACACAGAGATGTTTCCAGTGACAAATAACAGAGCTGCGAACGGCTGTGAGCCAAACGCATATGTGAGTGTATTGCAACAGTAGAAATATTATCTTTGAGAGAGTGAGGTAACAGGCCTGGGTTTTATTTGGATCGTGTAGATGAGAGGAAAAAGGTCAGACATGAGTAAACATATGAATGAGCCAATGTTGGCCATCCAGAAGGTGACCCATGGGCCTTCAGGGGGGGAGAGAAATAGGGAGAAAACAGAGAGAGAGACAAGCCTCTCCAGCTGAAAACAGAGGGACCTTTTCTACAATGTCCCTAAAATTAAACAAATGAACTTTATACACTTGAGAATATGTGTTGTTACAGATAAACACACAGCACTCAAGTCTGAACACAGACTCCATGGTCCACAGCATCTTCAATTACTCTTGGGGCTGCAATTATGTAATGCTCACCATCTGTGAGCCCTCCTTCCTGGCAAGGCGAGATACCCTCTGTGCCATGTCAACCGCTGTTGCAAACTGCATGGGCATCCAGACAGGATGCCTCATCCACAAACACACAAAAACACACTGAGTCACAGTGTTTACAGCCTGAGCTCACCACTGTACTGCTGCCACACACACTAAAGAAAAACATGCAGCATTTAGCTCACTCAGCTGAACTGCTTCATTTCTTTCACTTTCAAATTTCAAGTAAAAGTGGGAGATGGATCATTTCACGCATCTGAACAACATAATATGAGCGAACAAAAAGTGGGTTCTTGGGACAGATCTTTCACTGAAATGAAACGGTCTGGTCTATGGAGGATTACTCATTTATACTCCTTTATCCTGATTTATTTGCGGAGTCCACCTTATTCATCTCTGGTGCGCAACAAATCTTGGGATAGGTTGGACCACGGAGGATCCACCCGCTGGATCCTTCATTGCCTGGGAAACGCAGGACGCATTTGAAGGAGCCATTGAAACGGGAGAACCTTGTCCTACTGCTGCAGCCTTCGAAGGATGCAACCCTTGAATCGAGACACAGCTTATATGCTGCTTATAAATGCTAAACACTAAAGTGTTACAACAGAAAAAATATGAAACACTTTAAAATTCCTCATTGTTTTATAAGAATTTGACTCTTTAGGATCCAATAAAAAGTTAATTTATTAAACTGTATTTGTGCCATTAACCCCTGAACACACTCCCTCATTCTCGTGCACCAACCTGGTCTACTTTAAATGTTAAAACCAAAATGTCAGACTGAGTAGAAGACATACTGAGCCAAAGTTACAAAGACACAACCATAGTAGAAAAGGTTATTTGCCCCACCTACTTTTCTTTTAAAAATGTAATAAAAGGCCTGCATTAGGAGCTGTAGTCACAAGTCTGAACCAATTCTGTTCAACAGCTGCTGCAGTGATGTGTGGATCCTAAAACAGATAGAATTAGGAGACTTAGAGCCTTTAGACAAAGTATAATCTATCAGGATTGTGTGAAGATTGAGTTCAGTACAAACTGAAACACACCTTAAGTAGTGACTCTAAGGCCAGTAATTGAATTTTAAGGGAGTCTTTTGATGTAACACTCTGACACTTTGTCTGTTTGGTGCTGAGCAGGCAGTGTTTCTGACGAACAGTCTACAGTATGAGCAGCCAGAAAACCAACGATGACCTGAAAAGACCAAAAAGCAGCTACAGAGCTGCTGATCATTTTCTGTGGACTCTGCACCATAGACACATCTGATTTATTTAAAAATATGACTTTAATGTACAACATCTCTGTCAGTGGAATGAGATTCTCCTCTCTGTTACTGTCGCACTTTGTAATTTATCATGATAATATGGGAGTATGTTTACATAAAACACTGAGCATGAAAAAGCCAAAGATCCAACGAATACTCGACATCTCGAGATTGACCTCTTCATTCTCTGCACTGCAACCGCAGCACTTCATCTGAGCAGCTTCCAATAAACAACTTGAAAAACAGATGAGTAATACTCTTGCCTCTCTTACATAATCACTAAAATCCAGAGGAAATACTGACATGGCCACTTGCCAAACAGGCATACCAATACAACAGGAAACAACTACAACGCGAGCAGTGATATACATAAACAAGACACATTAACTCTCAGTAGCATTCTATAATCTAAAGGAGCAGCAGTGTGATTTACTCCACGTGCCGACCAGTCACTTTGTTCATTTTCTGCCTCAGAGATCATACTGATTGTCATGGGCACCAGATTTTCCATTACACTGGCTCCACATTTATCATGACTGTTGTTTATCTGCCTCTCACATCCTGAAGAAAATGAGACCATTTATCTGCAGGAAGCCTGTCCGACAGACTTACTTCTCCTTTATGGCTGTTTAGTGAGGTACTCCAGGGTTGGGGGTAAAATATTAATATAGATTACCTAAATGACACAGCATGTAACAAACCCTTTTGAGGGATCTGAGGCCGTTCTAGGGATGTTTGAAGTCGTTGGACGTGGGATGTTGCAGCAGGCTGTGTTGCCATGTTGCATTCTTGTATGTTGCAGTTTAGCACAAAACAAAGCTGTGAGCAACATATAACAGCGCTGATTTGTCGAGTGATTTGGGACATTTTGTCCTCACTCACGATTCATAAACATGCACTCTCATGAGGGTTTTATATCCAGGCTGCGGGCTATGGTTATTTCATCACACATTTTAAGATTTTATTTTTTTTGTTCTTTTTTTCTTTGCTGAATACGAGGAAAAAAATCATGACACAGTCAAAGAACTAATGGCCCATGAGACATGAAAAATAATGGTTTTGCAGTCAAACAAACAACTGAAACATTTCCTCTCTCCAACAGAATGTTTCAGCAAATGAGACTGTAGGATGCTCTGCCGCTGTTGCTAAGCAACAAATTACTTTTGCTGTAAAAGACCCCCCCTGCCTCCCATCCACATACACACATCTTCCCATAACAAAACAATCTCACACTTTCTCTCTATTGCCTTTTTCTTCCCTTATTCCTCCCTTCTCCTCTTTGCTGACCAATTGAAACCTCCCATCCGAGTCCCGCCAACGACGCCAGATGACTCTCTTTAACGAGCTGCCGTTCCCAGCGTGCCTGTACTGAGCGCATGCAGCATAGCAACAAGTCAGACTGAATGAATGTTTAATAAGATGAAAAGCATAAAAGGCTGAAACAGATGAATTTGGTCTGACTGGTCGCCGTTGGTGAAGGTGAAAACAAGGTTACAGAGCGGCTCCTTGATTCTCCTATCTGATGTGCGAAGCCACGGCGTCCTGTGAGGGTCCATTTTGCCAACAGTCATGGATGTGTGCGTCTCCATGACAACTGTGGAAGGGTTGTGTAATGTGAGGTGCACCATGGCGAACAAAAAGACACCTTTGTGGACTGACGTCATCCGGCCACAACTGCAGATATAATCTTCCTCACCTGTAATTTTTTTCCAGCTCCACTCGTTGCAGCAGAAATAATGAATATGCAGGATTAGTTTACACCACTGCACACTTCTGCCTTTTCATAGGTGAAGACTTCTCTGCAGACATGAAATTATGCTAAACTACAATTAAATAAATAAATAAATAAATCTCTCATGCCTCAGCTCTACACGAGAATTCAGTGGATACACATGGAGCCAAAGCACACCGTGTAAGCATCATCTATCAGCGGTGAAACCCTTCGAAAAGGCCATGCAATAAAAGAGGAGGACATCTTTTTTTTTTTTTCTTTTTTTTTTCAAACAGTACGTCTTTACTGAATATCTGAATGGCTCACCCACCCCCCCCACCACCACCGTCTCCTATGCCAGTGTTTTCCATTTCAACACCCATTAATCAGTGCTATTGCTTTTGTCACCATGGAAACTGGACTTGCTGCATCTCTCACAAAGGTCTGGTTGGGGTTTTTCACAATAGCTAGACTGACGGCTCCCGTGGCTGCAGCAGGTCAGCGAGCCCATCGAGCGCAAAATCAGCCCCTGTGAGACACAAAAAAACCCTCTGTCTGCCTTCACTACCACCACCACAGGTTCGCCTAACCCTTTGCTATTCCCCTCCTCCTTCAACAGTCATCATTATGGACTAAGAGATTACATAACCACAGCTACTGTCTGGGCATCTTGAGACAAAGATACTGTATACTTCATAGGATATATCCTGGTGTAGAGCACATTTAAATCCTCCTCACTACAGACTGACAAAGAGGAGTTTACAGCCTAAATTCTACTACAAACAGAAAGGGAGTTATTTAGTGTTCACTTCCCAAATGTTACTGGATGACAAACAGCAGCGCTGTGTGACCTGCACTGCCCTGCAAATTACATGTGCAGCCCTTTGAGGAAGAAAAAAAAAGGGGAATAAAATACCACACTGAGCAACAACTCAATGCCAAAACCACTCAGAGATTGCTTCTTTATCTGACAGACAGAAGGCTGTGTGATACTAAAAATACCAACCATCAGTCTGCAGGCTACTAGATCATCTCTGGACTTTTCACTCACTTAAATAATAATTCAGCATGATGGAAACACATGAGCGTGTTAAGAGCATAAATTTATCTTTGACAAGCATTAAATCAATATTATAGATCAAGACCAGTCAAGTCGGTGAGATAGAAATGAGAGCAGAACTCCTGGACAGCTTTTTCTTCATTCAGACTAATGTGGTTTCCAATATGCAGGGAACCCCGTGTTACTCTACATTGCACTACAAATAATGTCAACAGATGACAGAAAACAGGAAAAAAAGATGAGGCATGAACTTATTTCTGGGACATGGGGAGCCTCAGAGACACTCAGAAGATGAAGATAGAGCGAGAGAAGTAGATGGAAGAAGCTGAGGAAGAGGAGACGAGGATTAAGTTCCTGGGTACTCACAGTGATCTTGGTCTCCTTGACCTCCTTGATCTGCCTCTTGGCCGGTGAAATGGAGCCAGGGGGCTGCGGGGCGAGACAGGAGGGATCGTCAAAACTCTCCTCAGTATCAAAGCTGGCTTCCATCATCATCCCTCTCACCTCCTCCTGCTTCTCTATTCTGGGAAAGCCTCGCTCTCTCTCTCCCTCCACGCACCGAGGCTGCCTTCAGTCTCACAAGCCACGGAGTGAGTGGAGAAGAGTCGCGTTGCAGGGGGAGGGGAGGGGGAGTGGGGGTGTGTAGTGGTGGGAAGGTAGCGCAAGGGTTGAGGAGGAGGAGGTGGGGTGGGGTGGGGGGAGTTGTAGGGAAGCGTGACGAAGTCTAGCCTCCGGTTAAGCTGCTGTCACACGAGTTTTAAGGTTGAAGGCTGCAAGGAGATGGATGCTGCCTGCAAGGGAGCTCTGTGTACCCACCACCACCTCACCTTCACCCCTCACCCCTCACCAAACGCCATCCATGCAGAGAGACAGAAAGAGCAAGTTCACGGATGAAGATGCTGGAGCACAAGGCGAGGATGTGAAGGAAAAAAGGGCATCAAGAAAGAAATAGAAAAAAAGGCAGAAAGACTTAAGAGAATAAAATGAGGAAGATGAGGGTGAGGAGGAGGAGGAGGGGGATTTATTTACATGATCCTTGCCACACCTCCCTCCCCAGAGAGCCTGATAGTGAAGGAGGAGGGAGCAGCAGCAGTGGGGGAGGAGGGGGAGGAAGAGGCGGCGGCGGCAGCGGCGGTGGGGGTTGGTTTCATGGAAATGGCTGAATGATGATGTTTAAGAGACTAATTACGATTGCGAGGGAAACTGGAGGAGGTGGGGGGGGGGCTGGCAGCCAATGAGATGCAGCTTCTGTGATTGTGGGTTTATGTGTTGGAAGAAATGTGTGTGTGTTTAAGATAGAAGGGGTTAAAAGGTGTGCTGAGGAGGCAAATTCAGGGACCGTGTATCAACAACAACTGAAATACTTGTGTGTATTTGAGTGTGTTCAGTGCGGCACTGTGTGTTTACAGTAAGTATGTGTTCGCAAGACGGCAGCAGCTACATCGTCATCATCTTTCTCATATGACAGCACTTCACCCGAGGCTTCAAACACCAGCCATGTGCAGAGTCCGCTCTGCAGCTAGGACGGCACACATGATCACTGCAGCGCTCACACCTTCTTACAACATCCACCTTGTCCAACTACACCATCACAGCCAGAACAAACCCTACATCCACTCGCATTCTCACCTTCGCTGTACAGAACATGGCGGAGGGCAGCTCTGACCACCACAGTCCCGCTCCAGGTTTTTCGTGATCCGTGGCTCCCAGCACTCCCAGCTTGAGTTTCAACTGTCTTGGCTGGCCTCTTTTTCCAAAACTGACAACCTCTGACATGTGGAGTCCAAATCTCAGTCGCCCATATGGCCCAAGTGTCTGTCCATCTACACTCTCCAGTGTGATCATGACACGATATGCCCTCGTCTGACTTGCAATTAGTCACGTGGGTTGGCATGTAATCGATGTTGGCCCAGGTTCATCAGAGCTGCGGGAGCGGCCCTGCCTTCAGTGGAGAGCGGCAGCTTTATCTCATGGAAATACTGATATCATATGGTGAACTGAGAACACTACTTATATGGGAGAATGCAGCAGGCAATTAATCTGTCATGATTATCTTTATTTATCTATTAGTTTATGAAATGAAAGATTGATTGCAAATTTTCTCAGTCCAAGGTGACATCTTTCAAGTGTTTTTATTTACCAAACATATTCTGCTTACAACAATTTAAAACAAAAGAAAAGCCACAAATCCTCATGTTTGAGAAGCTGGAAACTGGGAATGTCCAGCAATTTGTTTGGGACATAATCAGTTGTCAAAGTTGTTGTTGAGTAGAGACAGTCCTCGCAAATCACATTTAGCATGGTGGGCCGATGTTTTTTTGCCATTTCCAACCTTGAGTCAACATCGAATCACTCCCTAAGCTTAATCACGTTTATCATAGTAACATGACAATGCAGATCCCCAAACCTAAATGAAGTAGCCATTTTAACCCAAAGCAGTCATTTTTGTGACCGAACCTTAAACTTCCAATAACTGATTTCTTTGACCACTAGGGGGAGTAGTAACAAGTTGTACAAACAACACTGACATAGCATCATCTTTGAAGTTGAGGAGATTTTTCAGCGAACAGTTGCTTTTTTACACATCCAGAAGCTACACAGAAACATTATCATTCCTTTGGAGTTGTGTTTCTGGCCACCTGGACAATGTAAGGTTATATTCCCTCTTTTTTAGTTCTGTTTTTGGTCTCCACCTGCTCCTGAGTTAAATCTCTGGCTCTTTATCTGCTAAATGCTCTACTATGTTCACCAGCTGCTCTCTGACTGTGTCTGTTGGTTGTTTGCTGCTGAGCAGGTAGAGGAAAGTGGCTTTTTACAGCTATTTCTCTGTAAAAAGCTTTCTGCTGCAGCCGAAAACGAGGCCATGAGAGTGGTGAGAGTGAAGCAGAACAGTGAAATTGTGGGTTGGACAGAAAAACAATGAGCTGACACTCGCTATAAACCTCCGCAAATTCAGGTGACAATTCTCTGTAGGTTCATTGCTGCAAGCAATTCCTCTCTCATAGCTGCTTTAACCATGGCGCTGTCACATCTTACACCCTAATTATTTTTTAAAAGTGATGTGTAACAGCTTTTAAAGGCACTGACTAATGATGTCAACCTGTCGATAGCGATGTCAGAGCAGAAAACTCTTCTTTGTGACGTTCTGGAGGGCTCAGGCAAATGATTTATCTTGTTGTCTAATCTGGAAGACTTGTTGGACGATCAACAAATGAATTAATACATTTTTTGTTTCAGCACTACATAAAACAATGAAGGGAAACAGCCACTAACAGCTTCATCATTACATGAGGACTCATACCTCTGAATCTTTGAACCTTTGTGTCAGGGCTGGCAATTCGTACTGTTTAATAGCCTATTTTGGGTTATAGCACATACCTGTTTGTTAATGGTAGGTTTCCTCAGAGCAACATGAGTGGTCTCCGTGGGTCGACTGGTCTTTGTACCGCTTTGACTTCCACCCGCTGACGACAAACACATCATAAACCACACATTATTGATGAAAGTGACAGCTGGATTCTTACTTTTGTGCAGTAACCCAATAATAAGCAGATGGGAGCCAAAGATCGACAGTCAACTAAATTACAGCTGAAAGGTCATTTGTGATTTTGATATATGACATTCTAATGTCCAGACTGTTTTCAGAGTAGATCAACTCCAAAACAATGACTATTGTTTGACTATTGACTATTTCATTCAGTTTGTGTTCATTTGTAGGTCTTTGGAGGCTACGGGGGCTTTTTTAGCGCTTGTAAGTACTGACTTGTTCTTATTTCAGGTCTGTAACATCCTCTGTGCATCCTCTTCCCAGCCCCATATATAAACACACATTGAATGAATGTCATTAAAGGGAATGGCCCTGGGGGGGTTCACAGCTCTGTGAGCAGTTCTGTAGTAACGCCCCTGGTTTCATCCTACATGCCCTTAATGGTTCTTCATCGCCCGTGATTCATGAGCTGTCCGCTCGCTGCATATCAACTCGGCCCATCTCCAGCTGAAGGTAAACACGTGCGCCTGGCAGAGTGTGACCCCTGAGGCCACACATCACAGCCGTGGACGCTGGTCAGAGCAGGACCAGGCCCGACTGCGGGAAAACAGAGGTGACTCCAAAAATAGAGATGGCAGTCATTTTGCTCAAAGGGCCATTAAGAAATCTATGACCTTCAGTGACCTCTGTTAGTGACCAGTAAAATGTAACATCTACAGGTCTCTGACACATGTGCTGTGATTGACATGAGTAATAGTAAGTCACTTTTTCACAAAAGTGAGCAGAGATCCATCAGAAACAGACCTAATATTCACTCATCACTTATGAGGGTTACTGGAATATTATTTGTGCTTTGTTGTTTGATTTATGATAAAAATGAAGCTTTTCAGTCTTCACAGACACGTCTGACTGGCCTGTGGGCTATGGGAGATAGAGGGGTGCACAAGGGGGGGTCATGTGATGCGCCATCAGCATTTTATCAGCATTGCACCCCGGTGAAACTATTGGAGACGGTCCTGATGTGAAGATTATGTCTGCTTCTCGTAGACTAATGTAACACTAAATCCAATTTTTTGAGTCAGTAAATTACATATACATTTTATTATATCATCTATTGATCTTGGTCCCAGCCTGTGGTATTTGTACCGGTAAAAAATCCAGTAATTTTTCAAGATAAAAAAAGAGACAGATTAACAATTTGTGCATCTTTTGCAAAATGTGATGCAATGTGTGAAAAGTCATTCTTGAGTAATGAGGAACGTTTTCACTGACAACTTTTTTGTTGATGCACACGAGACTCAACTGGTTCTGAGTCGCTCAGCCAGAGCTGTGAGAAGTAGGGGCGGTGAGCACCCTACAACCAGGGGGCTGAGATATATTATTTTACTGCTGTGTTGCACACAGCTCTCCTGGTTCCTGTCATCCACAATAGACCCACTCCCTGACATATAAATACAGCAGTCAGCTGTCAGCAGTGGGGATGGTATAGAGTATGAAAGATTTAGAGAGTGCAACTGAAAGTAGCAGTAATAGAAATACTACTACTATATAATATGAAAATATATTGTTATAACGTGTTGTTATAATGAGTCCTGAGTAAAGTTTGCACTGCTTTGTTCTGGGTATTCTGTTTATGTTCTTACATGTTTGTGTATCTGTGATGCTAAGGCACGTGTTCACCAATTCAGTCTTATCTCTTCCCTTCGGTTGCTGCATCATTATTTCTTCCTCTCTGACCCAGTCGGTCAAATCCCCGGTTTCCTGTCCAGAGGCTGAGCTTAGATCTCGACCTGGCCTTCTTTCTCTCTAAGGAGGATCACACTTGTCTGGTTTAATGCTGACAAAACTCCCCTGCATCTGCCTGCCTCCCTGCTTGTTCTTCCTCTAAGTGTCTTTAGGCCACACGCCAACAGAAAGAAGAAAACCATCTGTTATCTGCTGAGATGTTGTTAGTGAGGATGCTGGCAGCGATGAAACATAACACGCCACTCATTAAGAAAATGTAGGATTTCCTCCTGTAGCGCTACCTGAGGTTCATGACAACGTAGCAGAGAAATGTATTAGTGGGGATTTGTCCAAGATTTTTGGGAAAATGTTAGTAAGTGTCTTGGAAACAGTGTGATCACTTGTATTATGTCAGATTCAAATGAGGGAA